CCGGGCCATCATGCGCTCATTGGGCATGCATACCCCGGTGACGCAACGCAGACCCTTCCGGCCCCAACCACAGCGCACCTACCCTAACCCTTGACCGCAACAGGACTTCGCCAGGAGGCGTGGTCGTGGTGGTAGGAGGAGACAATCTGGTCCTCAATCAGGCCAGAATCAGGGCCCCCCAAAACCATCGGTGGGCCCCAAGCAAAACTTTTGAAGGTGCGCCTGAGGGTGGAGCACCAGTCTCCTTGCAGGATCCTTTCCCGCCTTTATTCAGCCGCCTCTCCTATTTCCTCCCTGCGTGGTCCCGCATAACGTCAGACTGTTGGGTCCTACGCATGGTGGAAACTGGATACCATCTTCAGTTTGTTTCGCCCCCCTCCCTCCCTGTCCCTCTTCAGGGACCCCTCTCATGAGCAACTCCTCTTACAGGAGGTACAGGTGCTCCTGTCTATTGGAGCGGTGGAAGAGGTCCCAAGGGATTTGAGGGGCAGGGGATTTTACTCCCGTTACTTCCTAATCCCCAAGGCAAAGGGGGGACTACGACCCATCCTGGACCTGCGCGAACTCAACAAATTCATGGTAAAGTTGAAGTTCCACATGGTTTCCCTGGGGACCATTATCCCTTCCCTGGATCCTGGAGACTGGTACGCCGCCCTCGACACGAAGGACGCGTACTTCCACATAGCGATTTACCCGCCGCACAGGCGCTTCCTCCGCTTTGTGGTCAACCAACAGTATTTCCAATTTACTGTCCGCCCCTTCAGCCTGTCCACAGCGCCAAGGGTCTTTACAAAGTTCATGGCCGTCGTAGCAGCCTCGCTCCGTCGGCATCGGATCCAAGTGTTTCCGTACCTCGACGACTGGCTCATTCGAGGTCGTTCCGAGCTCCAGGTGCGGTCTCATGTTCGGTTCGTCATGAGCTTGTTCAGACAGCTGGGCCTACTGCTCAACGCCGAAAAGTCCACTTTGCAGCCAACCCAAAGAATAGACTTCATTGAAGCAATCCTGGACTCGAATCTCTCCAGGCGTGCCTACCGCAGGCCCGCTTCCAGTCCATGGCGACTATTATTCATGGCCTCCAAAGCTTCCCGATCTCGACAGCACGCACGTGACTCGGTCTACTGGGCCACATGGCGTCGTGCACCTTCGTGACTAGACATGCCAGACTACGCCTCCGTCCGCTTCAGGCCTGGCTCTTGTCAGTATACCGTCCAGGCCGAGACAAGTTGGACACAGTACTCACAGTGCCGACGGAAGTCTTATCCTCTCTGGGTTGGTGGCTAAACCCCAGCTTTGTGTGTGGGGGGGATGCCATTCCATGCCCCCCAGCCCTTTCTAGTCCTGACCACGGACACATCATCTCTGGGCTGGGGCGCTCACCTTGCGGACCTTCGCACGCAGGGCATTTGGTCCACACAGGAGATAACCCTGCATATCAACGTACGGGAACTGAGAGTGGTACGCCTGGCATGTCGGGTATTCCGGAAACACCTTCAGGGCCGTTGTGTCACAATTTTCACAGACAATGTTTTACATCAACAAGCAAGGGGGAGCACGGTCGTTTCTCCCCCCCCCCCCCCGTCAGGAAGCCATTTACCTGTGGGAATTCTGCATAGCCCACTTGATCGACCTGGTGGCGTCGTTTCTCCCAGGAGCCTAGAACATCTTGGCAGATCGCCTCAGCAGGTCCTTCCTGGCTCACGAGTGGTCGATTCGTCCGGACGTGATCCATTCTGTTTTCCGGAAGTGGGGGTTTCCCCATGTAGATCTTTTCGCCTCTCGCGAGAACCGGAAGTGCCAGGTATTCTGTTCTCTCCAGGGACGCTCCCCGGGCTCCCTATTGGACGCCTTCCTGATGCAGTGGAAAGACCATCTGTTCTACGCCTTTCCTCCGTTCCCATTAGTTCACAAGGTCCTTCTCAAATTGCGTCGAGACAAGGCCCGCTTAATCTTGATTGCCCCGGCGTGGCCCAGGCAACATTGGTACACCACACTCCTCGATCTGTCGGTGACCAAACCAATTCCTCTACCGTTGTGGCCAGACCTGATCACTCAGGAGCACGGCAGACTATGTCATCCGGACCTGCAGTCCCTCCATCTCACAGCATGGATGCTGCATGGTTAAATCAATGTGAGCTGCGTTGCTCCCGTTCAGTGCAGCAAGTATTCTTGGGTAGCAGAAAGCCCTCTACTAGGTCCACATACCTGGCCAGATGGAAGCGCTTCTCCTGCTGGTGTGCCCTGAGCAATACTGTCCCTCTGGAGGCGCCAGTACCTACCATCCTAGATTATCTCTGGTCCCTGAAACAGCAAGGCCTGGCTGTCTCATCCATCAGAGTACACCTAGCAGCGATTTCATCCTTCCACCCGGGCGAAAACGGGCCCTCGGTTTTCTCCAATCCCATGGTCAGCAGGTTCCTCAAGGGTCTGGAACGTCTGTACCCGCAAATTCAACATCCAGCCCCTACGTGGGACCTCAGTCTGGTCCTATCTAGACTCCCTTCGAGCTGATGGCCACCTGCTCACTTCTGTACCTTTCCTGGAAGACAGCCTTCCTTGTCGCTATCACCTCGGCGAGACGTGTGTCGGAGCTTCGAGCCCTCACTTCAGACCCACCGTATACGGTGTTCCATAAGGACAAGGTACAGCTGCGACCACACCCCGCCTTCCTCCCTAAGGTGGTGTCTGCCTTCCATGTCAGCCAAGACATCTTACTTCCGGTCTTCTTTCCGAAGCCACATGCTTCGCGACGAGAGCAACAGCTGCGTTCCCTAGATGTTCGTAGGGCTCTCGCCTTTTACATCCAACGAACAAAACCTTTTAGGAGGACGTCCCAGCTGTTCGTAGTGGTGGCAGACCGGATGAAGGGCCTCCTGGTCTCCACACAGCGAATCTCGTCTTGGATTACATCATGCATCCATGCATGCTATGACTTGGCTGGTGTCCCAACTCCGCGACTCACTGCCCACTCTACTCGGGCTCAAGCTTCGTCGTCCGCCTTTCTGGCTCATGCACCCATGCAGGAGATATGTAGGGCAGCAACTTGGTCATCGGTGCATACCTTCGCTTCCCACTATGCGATAGTGCAGCAGTCCGGGGTGATACTGCATTCGGTTCAGCGGTCCTCCATTCCGCGACTTCTAACTCCAACCCCACCGCCTAGGTAAGGCTTGGGAGTCACCTAATTGGAATCGATATGAGCAAGCACTCGAAGAAAAGATGGTTAATCACCTTTGTAACTGTTGTTCTTCTAGATGTGTTGCTCATATCCATTCCAAACCCGCCCTCCTTCCCCTCTGACGGAGTAGCCGGCAAGAAGGAACTGAGGGGGCGCTGGGTCGGCAGGGGCATATATCCGGTGCCGTAAGGGCGCCACTCCAGGGGGCGCCTCAGCCGACCCACCGAGTGTTGCTAGGGTAAAAATCTTCTGACGATCGTGCACGCGGCGCGCACACACCTAATTGGAATGGATATGAGCAACACATCTCGAAGAACAACAGTTACAAAAGTGAGTAACTGTCGTTTTTGTATTTAACAAAGCACATAACTATTTTTCTGTTAACGTTTTATTACTGTGCTAGTTTACAATCAGATATTATGTTGCCATACTACTAGTGACACCAATGATGTCCTTATTCAAAAAAACCAGTAATGACCAATGAAAAGAGACTTAAATACCAAAAAATAGGTTTATTTTCAGAAATCGCTTATGCTTTGCGCGGTATGTGAACTTTCTGAATACTGCAGTAAGTGTGAGATCTCACTGCACTACTCATTGCACTGGTGTGTTAACTATTTCCCTTCTCCTAAGGTCTCTGTTGTCCCTCATTCTGAAACTTTAAATAATTAAAAAAGCTATATACTATATTTTCTTCTTTTCTCCTCCCCTACTCCCCAAATACATCTGTTGTGGTGATCTCATGGTTAAAACCCTAGACTGGAAATCAAAGTCTAGGGTGAAATCCTTGGTCCTGGGCCAGCCCCTTGAGGCTGGGTAAAAAGGGCCAGAGCAACATAAAGGGGGTCCTAAAAGACCCATATTCAGTCAGGGAAGGGATTTCCTTGGGGCGGATGCTGCAGAAGACAGTCATGAGTCTGCTTCCTGATGACCTCCTTGCAAGACCTGGTGAAGAGGGGGTGGTGAGTAGGAGGAGGCTATGTTGGGGGTGCACGGGCAGTGATTCCAGGCAATACTGCAGCCCATAGGGCTGCATAGGGAGACTTCTGCCATTTAGAGAGTCCTGAGGGCCAGGCTAAGTTACAGTAGGGGCCTATGCAGCCTATGGAGCAGCCCAGAATTGGGAGATTGCATAGATAACTTAAAACCACCATAGCCCTCACTTGTTAGGGATTGAGAGTTCTGTGCTGCGTCTCTTAGAGGCACCACACAGAATCTGACCCCTACGCTTTTTGTTTCTGCTATAAACTATGACTTTGAACAACTTCTCTGTTTTCTGAGTTTCCCCACCTATATAACGGGATAGTTACCTGCTTTATAGAAAGTTTTTGAGGTTTAATTCATTAATGTCTGTAAAATGCTTTGAGATCATGAGATGGAAGTTACTATGGAACCACAAAATGCTTACTAGAATTACTCTGCACTAGCAGGAAGGTCAGCCACTGAACGTGCAGCACCATTCTTACAATATTGGAGACTCTGAGAGGAACTGATTAGTAAGAGATCTGAGGCTTTCCTCAGATCTGGGTAACCTGGAGGATATTTTATAGTACTATCATTAGGACACTGACAGCCTAAAAAATCTTTTCTGTACAAATGCCTTTCTAAAAGTGGATTAGTTACTACTTATGGCAAGTTTATCAATTGATTCTAAGATTGTCTATGTACTTACATTACTTCTCAGCTTACAGCTGAGCATGACCTGCACTCTCTTTTTCAGGATACCCAAAAATTCAAATTTAGCTTTATTTAAATTCATAATAGTTCATTTCTTCTAGGATACATTTCATTATTGACCTAACGCTTTTTTCCCTCACAACAGGCCACCAAGGTTAATGGGAGAAGGCTTTGTTGTAATGCAGTCCAATGATGTTGACATCTACTATTACATGGATGAACCAGGTAGCTTCTGTTAAATAATAGTGTTATTTACATAATTTGTGCACTGTTTATTTATCAGGACTTCCTATACCATTAGTTTTAATGTCTTACTGTTGTCTTTCTGGAATGCTGAAAGAATTTTTTTGATCTCCAGCTTAGATGAGTCAGCACAAGATGTGAGACAATAAGAATGTTGCAAGAAAGTATATGGACTGTCCCTGCCCCTCTTTAGTATTATCTACTAAATTTTCACATTGTTGTCATTGACATGAACAGGTGGGCAGGTTCCACTGACATAAATGGAAAAGAGTACTAATTTATATTTTGAGTCAAAACACTGTTTTTAACAGTATATTTTAGCTGTCGTGCTTCATAATGAATATTGTCAACATTTAGATAAACCCAACATCCACGCTTCTCTCTGCAGGTCTGGAAAAGGTCAGACCTGGAGGTGGGATTTTCAGAATGGTATCAATGGGAGTTTGGTGCCTAATTCTCCTCAGACACTTCTGAAAATGTCAAGTTTTCAGTGCCTAATATTAAACTTCTTAAAACTATATTTAAGCATCCACATAGAAATCACCTGATTTGTAAAACCATGCTAAGCAAACCTAACTCCAGGTGAAATCAGTGGGAACTGCAGATGTTTTTGAAAATCAGTCCACTCCTACGTTGGTGTATAAGGTCTTGTGTACACAGGGAAGTTTTCTCAGTATAACCTAAGGTGTGAATTTAACCACTATAGCCTCCTGTGTAGATGCTCTTATTCTGGGATAGTGGGTCATTTTTGGCATAGCGTTTGTCACTTCGGAAGGGGTTTATAACTAGACCGGTATAACTAATCATTTTTTCCCCATCTAGACAAGTCTTTAATATACCTTTTATGAGCTTAACTTTAGGCACGCAGGTTAGAGAACTTTGGCCTAAGTTCTTGAACACATGGGGTAGGATTTTCAGAATTGCTCATTGTTGGCCTATCTCTCTACCCACATTGAAGTAAATGGCAAAAATTCAACCATATTTACATTAGAAGGTTTTACCAGTAAAATTTCTACCAGTATACAGCTGCTGACATTGCTATCACTAGTTTGTATTCACATTTGACTGTCTTTGCTGGCGCAGCATGCCCTCACACTGACAGGTTGTATTGGCAAAAGAAGGACAGCATGGTGATTACACATCCCAGTGTCCCCAGGGCCATTGTTCAGTGCATTTCCTTCTAAGAAATCTTTTGGCAGTGCATTGTGGGCTGCCAGTGCTCTTCTCAGGCAATTGTGGGAGTTGGGGGATCAAATTCCCACAGTTTCCTTTGTTCCATCCCATAATCTTCTCTTCCTCATGCTGGTTTTCCATCTTGTTGTCAGAATCATGGAAGTGGAACAGATCAGTAGATCTGGCTTGTCTGTTTTAGAGGCAGAGCAGCTGATTGTTCTGTACTTATGGCGCTACAAGTACCATCACAGCTGGGTCTGCAGTAGAGAAAACTGAAGAGGTGTGGATAATGTGGAAAGTGAATGAAAGTCACCAGGTGCTGCAGGCACTCACTGAGCAGCTGCACACTATGGAGCAGCAGTTTCTGAGCCTGTGAAATGAGCACCGAATGGTGGGATTGGCTCATGATGCAAATCTAGTGGCTGTAGAATTTTCATATGTGGAAGGCCACATTCCTGGAGTTGTGTGCCAGGCTGCCTTCAGCACAGAGACCCCAAAATGAGGGCTGCTTTGACAGTAGAGAAATGGGTGGTGATTGCTGCTCCGAAAGGTTTACTCTTGAGGGAATTTTGTACTAAAAAGTTACAAATTCTGCATGCAATGTTTTAAAATTCTGCATATTTTATTTGTCAAAATAACACAATATAATCGCACCATTTTCAATTATTTTGGTAATTTAGTTCAAAATACCTGTCAGCAAGTACAGACAACAAAGATGATTCAGGAAATGTTTTTTGACAAATAGATTTCTTACTCCACAGAGCCGATGGAAATACTAATATTTCCATGTATGTTAAGCACAGAAGACTTTAAGGGTATGTCTACACAGCAAAGAAAAACCCATGGCTAGCCCGTGCCAGCCAACTCAGGCTTACAGGGCTCAGCCTGTGGGGCTGTCAGTTTCATTGCTGTTCAGACTTCCGGGCTTGGAGCTCAAGGCGCCCCCCCACCCCCCCCCACGCGCAGAGTCCTAGAGCAGATGTGGGCAAACTACGGCCCGCGGGCCATGTCCGGCCCGCGGAACCGTCCTGCCTGGCCCCTGAGCTCCTGGCCGGGGAGCCTATCCCCGCCCCTCCCCCGCTGTCCCCCTTCCCCCGCATCCACGCCGCAGCGCGGGCCGCACTCTGGCCCGCCGCTCTCGCTGGGCAGCGTGGGGAGCGCAGCTGGCTCTGGCTGGGTATCGCAGCTGCGAGCTCTTGCTGCTGGTAAGGGGGTGGGAAGCGAGGGGGGGGGTTGGGTAAGGGAGCGGGGAGTCCTGGGGGGGGGCAGTCAGGGAGGAGGGGCAGTTGGATGGGGTGGAGGTTCTAGCGGGGTGGTCAGGATGGGGAACGGGGGGGTTGGATAAGGGGGTGGGATCTCGGGGGCAGTTAGGGATGGGGTGTCCCGGGAGGGGGTGCTCAGGGGACAAGGAGCAGAGGGCGGTTGGATGAGGGTGGGAGTCCCCGGGAGCTGTCAGGGGACAGGGAGCAGGGAGGCTGGATAGGGGGTGGGGGTCCTGGGAGGGGGTGGTCAGGGGACAAGGAGCAGGGGGGGTTGGATGGGTTGGGAGTTCTGAGGGGGGTAGTCAGGGGGCAGGAAGTGGGAGGGGTCGGATAGGGGGCGGGGGCCAGGCTGTTCGGGGAGGCACAGCCTTCCCTACCTGGCCCTCCATACAGTTGCGCAACCCTGATGTGGCCCTTGGGCCAAAAAGTTTGCCCACCCCGTCCTAGAGCCTGGGCTCCAGCCCCAGTTCAGAAGTCTATACAGCAATGAAACAGCCTCGTAGCCCAATCCCCACGAGCCTGAGTTGGCTGGCATAGGCCAGCTGCGGGTTTTTCTTTGCTGTGTAGACATACCCTAAAGAGCAGAACATTTTTAGGAGTGAAGTTAGGGCATGACCTGGTACAGCACTTAAATATGTGCATAAAGTACAGCACCTGAGTATCCCCATTGAAACTAATGCTTTGCCAGCTTGCATCCTTCGTGAATGGCATGGTTAAGTAGTTCTCAGCATGTCACTGTAAAGTCACTGGAGTAGAATTGAAATTGTTCTAGACAATAGATTAGAAAGGAAATGAGAGTGGAGTCTCCAGCATGGCAGTGGGAAGCGCAGGCCACTACTGCACAGAGGTAGGGGATCACCCTGCAGACCCTCCATCTTCCTCTGGGACACAGACTTGGCGGTGAGGCTGCACCTCACCCTGACACAGTGCCAGGCCTGAGCTTGCCTCAGAAACACATCTGGGCCCTGCCCCTCCATGTCAGCTTGGCAGGATCCAAGTGTGGAGGGGCTTAGTGTGGGTGATCCATGTATGGGATAAGAGGGTTCTGTGTGGGGCAATCTAGGTATGGGTTGCTCAGTGGGGGGTCCAGGTGCAGGGAAATGGGACTCTGCAGGGGGAAGGGTCCAGATCAGGGGTCTCAAAGTCCCAGCCCACAGGCCATCTGCCGCCCGAGAACCTCCCCAGTGTGGCCTGCAGGGCTCCAGCAATTTTGGGGCTGGGTCTCTCCCTTGGCCCTGCTTGCCACCCCCGGGCACTCCCTCCCTGCGTGTCCCCTGGACAATTTAAAATGGCTCGGGGCCCCGCCCACCACCGGCAGCGCAGCTGAGCTGAGCAGCTTCCTGCGCGCTTGCTCCACGTGGCTGCCGGCCCCTCCCTGTAGCCCCGGGGGGTAGTCTTGCATGCACGCCCATTCCTGACCCCCCGAGGCGGTGATTTATGTCTCCCCTGGCTGCTCCTGATGCCAAACCAGATGCACCTGCTTGGGACCTCTGCCTGGGAGGGGCACATGAATAAATTATTGTGTGGGGAAAGAGTAAAATCTTGCACAATAGGGTGGAATTCATGTAGTCTCAGTGATCAGTTATTGGATTGTTTGCAAGCATTCTTCTGTATTTTTGATGTATTTAATTTGAATGCATTTTGTTTTTGAATGGATCGAATTATATTTGCATTACTGTATTTTTATTTTACTGGACATTTTTTTTCTTCCTGCAAAAGTTTTTCTTTTGAATGCATCAACGTCCTGCTAAATTATCTATTTGGGAATGCTTTTTGATTGCCTAAAGTATTCTTTGTTGTTTTTGGCCTGTTCATGCTACTGTGTGCTCTTAAAACAAATTGGCTACTTTAAAATCGAATTCCCTTTTTCCCTGCCTACTTGCAGTTGTCTGCCATTTTGAGGGTGTGTGTGAAGGACAGATAGGAGATAGTGAAGCGTCGGGGGCTGTGAAGAAAGTTTGTTTTAAAAACCATGTGCAGTGTGGGGGGGGGTAGTAAATTACACCTTTTTCAGGGGGCTCTCTCTGAGTTTGGCTGGGTCTCAGAGCTTCTTGGGTATATGTGGGCTCATGTCTCACTCCTTAGTGAGCTCTTCATCACTGTGCAGTTCTGGTGTGCCCTCCTCAGGACATTACGGAGCATCCACTGTTAGTCACTAGTTGCTGGGGTCCCCACTCGTTATGGCATCTAGCTCCACATAGAGTGGCAGCTCTGAAGGGCAGCACCAAATTTTTTTGTTTTCCTCCATTGCCTTTTGGTAGGACTGCTGCAGTTCCTTCTCCATTGCCTGGCATTGGAACTCATCCCTGTCATATTTCAGTTTCTGCATCTCCTTTGCAATGTCCAAATAAACATCTTTGTTCCTGTGTGAATTCTGTAGTTACGGTTCCATTGCTCCTCTCCTCACTGGCTGAGGACATCCAAGACTACTTTCCTGTAGTAGGCAGTAGCACTAGGGTTCACTGGCATTTTAGCTGTAGCTTTTCATGGAGCCATACCTGTGTGTTTGCAAAAGTGAGCTAGCAAGAACAGAACAGGAGTACTTGTGGCACCTTAGAGACTAACAAATTTATTAGAGCATAAGCTTTCATGGGCTACAACCCACTTCTTCGGTTGTAGCCCATGAAAGCTTATGCTCTAATAAATTTGTTAGTCTCTAAGGTGCCACAAGTATTCCTGTTCTTTTTGCGGATACAGACTAACACGGCTGCTACTCTGAAACCAGCAAGAACAGAGGCATTTCCAAAAACTCTGGACATTTTAAAGGGGGTCACTGTGACCATTTAGCAGAAGAATTCAAAAATTTGAGCAGAGAGCAGTCACCAGGACTGTGTCATTGTGGCAATATTGCTGGAGGGCTGTTTGTACTGGTGCAGGTAATACAGTGTCCACACAGGCATTGAACCAGTGTAAGTGTGTCAGTAGAGGATTTATGCTGCTCAGGAAGATGATTTAACTTGACCCGCAGTAGTTGAGGGTTTTGTCAGCAGGACTGAAAAGGCAGTGCCATGTGCGAAGCTGTACTGACAGAAGGCAGGTTTTACCGCTAAAATTATGTAGTGTAGGTTCAATGGATTTTACTGACTTCAGGGGAGCAAAGTTAGCTGTCATTGAGTGCCTTGGAAAAATTCCTTGGCTGCTTGCTTTCAGTCATATCCTTCTCTTCCTTTCTCTTTAGTCTACATGAAGGATGGGTTGACTCTTATATCCTGCAGTGATCTTGAATGAAACTGACAGCTGCATACTTTAATTGTGTAGCAGTCTGCAAAAATTTGTCATAATTGGAAACAGTTTCCTGAAGTAATATTTGCTGTATTACACGCTACAGGTCTTGTACCAGAGGAGACAGAGGAAAATAATGATGGAGAAACAAGCGATGAAGACAGTAAACTGCAAGACCTGCCTCCATGTTGGGGATTAGACATTGTATGTGGAAAAGGAACAGATTTCAACTATGGACCGTGGGCTGACAGGCAAAGGTATTAAACTGAATTGCATTTTAAATATTAATCTTGAATATCATTTCCTGTTTGGAAATTGTTATGACGTCTCCATTGATATTGCTGCTCAGGCTGTTAATTGTACATGGTAGACTACTAAGTATAAACAGTCAAAATATGAAATTAAAGGACCTCTGTCCAGTAGTTTAGGCCTAATAGTAGGCTCAGCATTCGCTGTTATGCATGTCCTCCAGAATTTAAAGACCATTCTTCACAAAGATAATAAGCAACCAATAAATTGTATTCCTATTTAATGAATGTAGTAGCTCTGATGCTGTCAAATTTCTGTATCTGTAGCAAATTTACACTTAAGTCATTTGAAAAAAAAAAAAAAAAAAAAAACCCTCAACAGTTCTGCCATTTTCTGTATGCAATAAAACTGTAATGATTTTTTTGTGGAGAATTGGAGCAAAGGGATATTGTAAACTGTAACTCTTCATGAATTTTCCCCTTTAGATTAGGGTAGGGAATTAATAAGGAGGAAAAGATTGTTCTGTAAATTGGAATTATTGGTGGGAACAGGCAGATGCTTGATGGAATCCCAATGAATACTTGCAGGTTTGGCCTTTTGCCTTAAATTACAAGCCTAGATTCTACCACCATTTCTTACCTTGGATAGCACTTTACTCTGAGAGTAATTCCACTGAAGTCAGTGGGACTGTTTACAGGTACAGGTAAGGTAAAAGTTGCATAAAGGTGACAATCTGCCCATTTAAGAAAAAAAATATTGAGAAGAATCACATACTTGTTATCCCTCTTGGATGTATGCCATTTACCCATCTGTGAAATTGTTGTGATTGACTACCTTATAGGAGTGTGAGAATGTGCAGATCATAAGGACTATAGATAGTAAACAATATCTTGAAGTACCTAAAGGAAAGAACTTCTGTGTACAGCATAGTGCATTCCTGGGAACATAAAACCTCTGATTTTTAGTATCACCAAGAAAATTTGCTCTCCTTTAGAACACTTCATACTTTAACCTGCCCAGTGATGGTGGCATTGTTGTTGATCAGGTAAAGGATCCAAAGAGGTGGGTCTTTTCAAAGGAAAGGATGGAAGATGATAAAATATAGGTAGGATCTGATGAAAAAAAGTCTCATTCAATTACATCATGTAATGGGAGACAGCTAAAAAGTGACAAGTTTTTAAACTGCTTATATACCAGGGGTCGGCAACCTATGGCACGCGTGCCAAAGACGGCATGCAAGCCGATTTTTAATGGCACGCTGCGGCAGCCGCTGGCCCCGCTCAGCCTGCTGCCGAACCCCGGCAGCAGGCTGAGTGGGGCCGACGGCTGGGACCCCGGCAGGCAGCAGCATGCCATTAAAAATCCTGCCCGACCCAGCCCGCTCTTCTCCGCCCCCCGCCTACCGCTCTCTCTGGCGGGGGCAGAAGCAAGCTTGGTCCTGCCAGCTGCTGTTGTAGGGCAGGCTCCGCTGGCAGCCAAGCTTCCCCCTCCCCCGCCTCTTCCGCCAGCGTGCTGTGTCGTGCTCCGCCTCCTCTCCCTCCCTACCTCCGATGGCCCTTGCGAGGGAGGGGAGAAGAGGAGCCCCAGCGCCCTCGCTGCTCAGACCGGGAAGGAGGCAGGGAAGAGGCAGGAGGGGGCCTTGAGGAAGGGGGGATGGAATCAGGGCATATCCCTCCAGCCCCCTGCCGTGAGCCACTCAGGGCAGGGGGCTGGGAGCACCCCCCAATCCCAGCCCACCCCCCCAGCCGTCTGCCCTGACCCCTGCACTCCGCTCACACTCCAGTCCCCTGTACCCCCCATGACCCCAGCCCTGACTCTGGCACCCTCACACATACTCAGCCCCCCCACACCCCATGCCTTGACTCCTGCACCCCCTCACACGCCCCCAGCCCTCTGCCCTGACTCCTGCACCCTCCACACATACCCAGCCCCCCACACCCCATGCCCTGACTCCTGCACCCCCTCACACGCCCCCAGCCGTCTGCCCTGACTCCTGCACCCTCCACACACACACCCTGCCCTGACTCCTGCACTCCCCACACATACCCAGCCCCCCCACCCTGAGCACCAAATGGGAGCTCCTTCACCCCCCCCACATTCCCACCTGCACCCCTCGCACCAAATGGGAGCTGCCCAGGTAAGCGCTCCACACCCAAACCTCCTGCCACAACCCTAAGCCCCCTCCCTCATTCTAGCTCCTGGCCAGACCCTGCACCCCAACCCCCAGCCTGCTCCTTCACCCCCAGCCCTGTGCTCAGTGCACCCCCACCCTCAGCTCAGTGCAGAGAGAGAGGAAGAGAATGGGCCAGAACCAGGGAGAAGGTAGGTACCCACTCTATGTGGGCAGGGCCAGGACCCCAGACAGGCAGTGGGCTGAGCGGGGCCGGCAGCTGGGACCCTGGCTGGCAGGAGCCAGCGGACGGAACCCCAGACCGGTCCTGGCCGCCGGCCCCGCTCAGCCTGCTGCCAGCCTGGGGTTCTGGCTGCCGGCCCCTTGCCAGCTGGGGTCCTGGCCGCAGGCCCCGCTCAGCCCGCTGCCGGCCTAGGTGAACGGAACCCCAGGCCGGCAGCGGGCTGAGCAGGCCGGCGGTGTAAGATCAGCATTTTAATTTAATTTTAAATGAAGCGTCTTAAACATTTTGAAAACCTTGTTTACTTTACATACAACAGTAGTTTAGTTATGTAATATATAGACTTACAGAGAGAAACCTTCTAAAAAACGTTAAAATGTATTACCGGCACGCGAAACCTTAAATTAAAGTGAATAAATGAAGACTCGGCACACCACTTCTGAAAGGTTGCTGACCCCTGTTATATACCAATGCTAGAAATCTAAATAATAATACAAGGCACTCTAGAAGTGAACTAGAGTGCCTTGTATTAAATGAGGATATTGATATAATAGGCATTACAGAAACTTGGTGGAATGAGGATAATCAATGGGACACAGTAATACCAGGGTACAAAATATATCAGAAGGATAGAACAGGTCACGCTGGTGGGGGAGTGGAACTATATGTGAAAGAAAATGTAGAATCAAATGAAGTAAAAATCGTCAATGAACCAAACTGTGCCATAAAATCTCTATGGATAGTAATTCCATGCTCAAATAATAATATAGCAGTAGGGATATATTACTGACCACCTGATCAGGATGGTGATAGTGATTGTGAAATGCTCAGGGAATTAGAGAGGCTATTAAAATAAAACACTCAATAATAATGGGGGATTTCCACTATCCCCATATTGACTGGGTACATGTCACCTCAGGACGGGATACAGAGAGAAAGTTTCTTGACACCTTAAATGACTGCTTCTTGAAGCAGCTAGTTCTTGAACCCACAAGAGGAGAGGCAATTCTTGATTTAGTCCTAAGTGGAATACAGGATCAGGTCCAAGAGGTGAATATAGCTGGAGCGCTTGGTAATAGTGACCATAATATAATTAAATTTAAACATCCCTGTGGCGGGGAAAACACCACAGCCGCCCAACACTGTAGCATTTAATTTCAGAAAGGGGAACTACACAAAAATGAGGAGGTTAGTTAAACAGAAAATAAAAGGTACAGCACCAAAAGTAAAATCCCCAAATTAAAATACATAGTAAGAGAACCAAAAAAGAGCCACTGTGGCTAAACAACAAAGTAAAAGAAGCCGTGAGAGGCAAAAAGGCATCCTTTAAAATGTGGAAGTTAAATCCTAGTGAGGAAAATAGAAAGGAGCATAAACTCTGCCAAATGAAGTGTAAAAATATAATTAAGAAGGTCAAAAAAGAATTTGAAGAACAGCTAGCTAAAGACTCAAAAAGTAATAGCAAAATATTTTTAAAGTACATCAGAAGCAGGAAGCCTGCTAAACAACCAATGGAGTCACTGGACAATCGAGATGCTAAAGGAGCACTCAAGGATGATAAGGCCATTGCGGAGAAACTAAATGAATTATTTGCATCGGTCTTCATGGCTGAGGATGTGATGGAGATTCCCAAACCTGAGCCATTATTTTTAGGTGACAAATCTGAGGAACTGTCCCAGGTGTCATTAGAGGAGGTTTTGGAATAAACTGATAAACTAAACAGTAATAAATCACCAGGACCAGATGGTATTCACCCAAGAGTTCTGAAGGAACTCAAATGTGAAATTGCAGGACTACTAACTATAGTCTGTAACCTATCATTTAAATCAACTTCTTTACCAAATGACTGGAGGATAGCTAATGTGACAATTTTTAAAAAGGGCTCCAGAGGTGACCCCAGAAATTACAGGCCGGTATGCCTGACTTCAATACCGTGCGAACTGGTTGAAACTATAGTAAAGAACAAAATTGTCAGATACAGAGGTGAACATAATTTGTTGGGGAATAGTCAACATGGTTTTTGTAAAGGGAAATCATGCCTCACCAATCTACTAGAATTCTTTGAGGGGGTCAACAAGCATGTGGACACAGGGGATCCATTGGATATAGTGTATTTAGATTTTCAGAAAGCCTTCAACAAGGTCCCTCACCAAAGGCTCTTAAGCAAAGTAAGCAGTCATGGGATAAGAGGGAAGATCCTCTCATGGATTGGTAACTGGTTAAAAGATAGGAAACAAAGGGTAGGAATAAATGGTCAGTTTTCAGAATGAAGAGAAGTAAATAATGGTGTCCCTCAGGGGTCTGTACTGGGACCAGTCCTATTCAACATATTCATAAATAATCTAGAAAAAGGGGTAAACGGTGCGGTGGCAAAATTTGCAGATGATACAAAATTATTCAAGATCCCAGGCAGACTGCGAAGAGCTACAAAAAGGATCTCTCAAAACTCAGTGACTGGGCAACAAAATCGCAGGTGAAATTCAATATTGATAAATCCAAAATAATGCACATTGGAAAACATAATCCCAACTGTACGTATAAAATGATAGGGTCTAAATTAGCTATTGCCATTCAAAAAAGAGATCTTGGAGTCATTGTGGATAGTTCTCTGAAAACATCCATTCAATGTGCAGCGGCAGTCAAAAAAATGAACAGAATGTTGGGAATCCTTAAGAAAGGGATAGATAATAAGAGAGAAAATGTCATATTGCCTCTATATAAATCCATGGTACACCGACATCTTGAATACTGTATGGAGATGTGGTTGCCCCATCTCAAAAAAGATATATTGGAATTGGAAAAGGTTCAGAAAAAGGCAACAAAAATGATTAGGGGTATGGAGCATCTGCCATATGAGGAGAGATTAATAAGACTGGGACTTTTCATCTTGGGGAAAAAAGACGACTAACGGGGGATATGATAGAGGTCTATAAAATCATTACTGGTATGGCGAAAGTAAATAAGGAAGTGTTATTTATTCCTCCTCATAACAAAAACTAGGGGTCACCAAATGAAATTAATAGGCAGCAGATTTAAAACAAACAAAACAAATTATTTTTTCACACAATGCACAATCAACCTCTGGAACTCCCTGCCAGCAGATGTTGTGAGGGCCAAGACCGTAACAGGGTTCAAAAGAGAACTAGATAAGTTCATGGAGGATAGGTCCATCAATGACTGTTAGCCAGGACGGGCGGGGATGATGTCCCTAGCTTCTGTTTGCCAGAAGCTGGGATTGGGCGACAGGGGATGGTTCACTTGATGATTACCTGTTCTGTTCATTCCCTTGGGGAATTTGCTGCCCTAATTCACCTAAGTGCTTTTAATCTCTGAAGTCCATTTCAAGAACCCTTCACTTTCTTCAGGCGGGCATTAATGAATCTGCATAGGGTAATTCTGAAAAAATAATCATTTCTCAGCTACTACAGCAGTCCGGTCTTGAGTGCACTGAAAAAAAGACCATTCTCATTCAAGTACTTTTATTTTTTCCAAGAAAGTATTTCATACGTGGCTACAGTTTTAAAACCGTTCTGTGGAATTTGACCTTAGTTCACTGATGGACTTCTTATTTGAACCACATATATCAGGCTCGCCATGCTTTTATCATCCTCTCAGTTTCCTTTCTTATGGCTATATATTTGGTTCAGATTGCAGAAATTCAGACTACGTTCCGATCCACACATTCTAATTTCAAAGAAATTTGTTGTTTTTATAGTTTCTGTGCTTCTGCCAATTATACACAATCAAAAAGTGACCTTGTCATCTCTCTTATCCTAATCTCCAAAACAAGGTAATTACAGTATAGTGTGGTGGGAAGATGAAATGAAAGAAAAAATGTAACTGCTTGTATTTACTTTCTGGGATTGTTATACGTTATTCCTTCCTGTCATCCCATCATAACATGCCTCTCCACCACAACCATCCCTGCATATATTTATTTCCTAGCAGTTTGAATATCTAGTTTATTTTGAGTTTGATTTCACTAACGAGGCAGATGTCTTTCCATTGATTAGGTCTGAAGATTTCAGTGTCTTGCAGCTTTATGCAAATGTTATTTCTTCCTTCACTTTCCTTACCTGTTGGCTGTCCAAGGACCTAATTCATTTACACAGACTGGTGGCAAAGAAATTTGTAGATGAGCCAAATTGTTTCTTTCCCTAGGAGTAACTATATTTCTCTTCTTGTTTTCTAGGGACTGTTTGTGGAAATTTTTTTTCCCACCAGATTACCAGGTTATGAAAGTCTCAGAAATTGCACAGCCTGGCAAGCCAAGACAGATCCTTGCTTTTGAGTTGCGAATGAATATCATTGCAGATGCCACTATTGACTTGCTCTTTACCAAAAACAGGGTAAATAATGGCCAGGTGGTTAGAAAGACATTTTTAAGATAACTCTGAATCTTACAAGCTCTTGTGATTAGGTTGTCTGGCTTTTTGTTCGTGCATATTTTCATTTGTCAGGTGGTATCTAGAGATATTTAAATATGATATGGGGGGGGGGGGGTTTTTTTTTTTTTTTGCTTGGATCTTCCTGAATTCTGTGTAGAATCATGCGAGCTAGAAGAGAAAGGGAAATATAATCTTCTTTCATCCACACCAGTTCCTCTTTCAGCCAAGGATCTTCTGGTTGTTAATGTTAACTTATTCTCAGTATCATGATTTCTCATATTTTTTTAAACATTAAGGCCATGTCATCATCTACAAAGGATGTTCCCAACTAGGTGATAAGTAACTCCATGAAATATCCCTCATGGAGTTTCCTACATAGTCTGCCATTATAATGAGGTTTCTCATGAAGGAGAGCTGGTTTCTAAAGCATTGAGGGGAAAGATGGGTAACTTAATGCTAATTGCTGGGTCTAGTGAGAGGCAGTGTTGCCTCTATGGGCATCACTTGCCCACTCTCTTCCATATGCATATCCTGAACCCTGCACAGGGGCTTTCAGAACTGAGAAGGTGCAATAATTCCAGGGACACAGCCCACTTTTCTGTCCCATTACTCATCAGGTCAGGTTATCCGATGGCATATTCTCATGGCCCTAAATCAGTACTTGTTATACCCCAGAAATTGTAAATATTTTCCTTTAAAATCATTGCTTGTAGATCCCTTGTTAATATTTAGCATGTTTAGTCCAAGGAAGACTACAGTCAACTAGATCCTTCTTTTTTAATTCTGACAATGTAACCATGAATAATGATGGCCAGAGGCATGACATACACTGGCTGAAGATAGGAGGAGAAATAATGTTTAAACTTTTCCCCCCCTCCTTTGGCTGGTGTAGGAAACCAATGCTGTACATGTAAATGTTGGAGCAGGCTCGTATTTGGAAATAAATATTCCCATGACAGTCAGTGAAAATGGTAAGTTGATGAGGCGGTTTATTTTACATTCTTAAGATTGTGCATCGGAGAAAACATTTATTAATTCATAGGATTGAGATATCCTAAGCTGTTTTCCCCTTATGGCTACAAAGGACCTATATTTCTATGTAAAGGAGCAATAATAACTTATACTTTCATAGTGCCTTTCATTACAGGATCTGAAAGCACTTTAAAAATACAAGTTTAACTCTTGTGAAGCTCTAATTGATATCAATAAGACATTGCCGTAACTTCTCCCTAGTTACTGAAAACAAGGCTCTTATTTTATTCATATTTTAGCATATTACATAAATTGTATCCGTACAAAGGCAAGTCCCATTTTTCAATATGATTACCATAACAAGTCTTCAGAAACATCTTGGGTAATACATTGATGAAATATTAACTTAGTCATAGAAATACCATGTAAAGTCAAGATAAAGATAAAGCTTGGGGTGGAGGGAGACCGGGATTAGGGCTCTTCTGTTGCCCTCCCCTGTCGGTAAGTGTTGAAGTCCTATGTTATATATGCTGAAGTTCTCCTTACTTGCTTTTGCTTGTGTGTCTTATCTTTACCCTGCATATAAGGAGTAGAAGATGCAGCTTCCTTTTGAAGTCCATCATTGCCTTTCCTATCGCTGTCTGTCTCTTTTGGCTATTGTACATATATATTATCCCTATTGCCATAGTATCTGAGCACCTTACAATCTTTAATGTATGTATCCTCACAAACACCCCTTTGAGGGAGGGGAAGTACTGCTATCCCCATTTTACAGATGGATGACTGAGACAGAGAAGCTAAGTGACTTGCCCAAGGTTTCACACAAAGGCTGTGACAGAGTTGCAAATTGAAACCTGGTCTTAAGAGCCCCAGAGTAGCCTTTTCTGGACCAGCAAGATTCCACAACTGCATTATCTTAAGCCTTTGTCATCCAACTAATATAGGACTGAACTGGAGCCTCACACTGTTGATGCTCTTCATGATGTGTTTTGCACCTCATGGTGTTTGTTTATAAAGTATTTGAATTTCTGTTTAACTCTTGCTTCTTTACTGTAACTCAGAAATAATCTTGTCACACAAGAGAAGCCACGATGTAAACATTATTTGTTCTGTCTGCTAGGCTACTCCCCTGCAATTAAAGGACAGCTTTTACACGTTGATGCCACCAGCAGTATGCAGTACCGAACTCTTCTAGAAGCAGAAATGTTAGCTGTAAGTCTACAGTAACAAAGCATCGTTAAGCACAGAGGTGCAGGTGTCTCTGATGGACATTTGGTTTAATATAAACATTTTTATATGGCTGGTATAAATGTTGTGCAAGTATAGAAAACAGTGCAATGATTGGGGGCATTTGTATATACTTTACAAGATCTCAGTCCTCCGAAGAATTATGCACAAATAATTTTATGCATGTTGAGTAATCCCAATGAAGTCTGAAGAACTACTTATGTGTGTAAAGTTAAACATTAATTTAGGCCCCTATCTGTGAAGACTTGAGTTTGCTAATCTCACTTAGTTTATAGGCATAACATAATTTATAAACAGTCTCTTCTGGGAGCAGAGCAAAGATTTAATAGTAGAGTGTTGCTCAGACTTGCATTGCTAAGACATCATTTCTCCTGCAAAATATACAATTGTATGTTAGCTAGTACACCTCCACCCCGATATAACTCAGTCCTCGGGAGACAAAAAATCTCACCGTGTTATAGGTGAGACCGCGTTATATTGAACTTGCTTTGGCCCTCCCTGTTCCTTGTTCCCTGACCACCCCCTCCAGAGACCCCCGTCCCTAATCACCCCCAGGACCCCACCCCCTACCCAACCCCCCTGCTCCCTGTCCCCTGAGTGCTCCAACTCCTATCCACACCCCCCACCCCCGACAGGCACGCAGTGGCAGTGGCGGGAAGCGGAGCAGCCCGGCTCCAGCCTGCTCCACTCTGCCACCTCCCTCCTGCGGCGCTCCGCTTCCCGCCATCGGTGAGTGCGGGGAGGTTGGGGAAAGGACGCCCCCCCCGCACTCACCTGCAGCGGGAAGTGGAGCGACACATCCCCAGCCTGCTCCACTTTCCTTGCCCCGGCCCCAGCCGTGTCGCTGTGGGGGGTGGCTGGGGAAAGGTCCTGCACTCACCTGCGGCAGAAAGCGGAGCGCTGCGGCTGGGAGCTGGCAGAGGGGAGCAGATTGGGGTTGGGCTGCTCCGCTTCCTGCCACCGGTGAGTGTGGGGAGGTTGGGGAAAGGACGCCCCTCGTACTCACCTGCGGTGGGAAGTGGAGCGATATGGCCCCAGCCCGCTCCAATCTGCCACCTCCCAGCTACGGCACTCCGCTTCCCGCCGCAGGTGAGTGTGGGGAGGTAGGGAAAAGGACGCCCCCTGTACTCACCTGTGGCGGGAAGCAGAGCGCCGTGGCTGGGAGGTGGCAGAGTGGAGTGGGCTGGGGCCGGGCTGCTCCGCTTCCACTGCTGCCGGTGAGTGTGGGGGGGAATCCCTTCCCCCAAGCTCCCTCCCCCGAGTGACACGGCTGGGGCTGGGGTGAGGGAAGCAGAGCGGGCTGCTCCCGGCCCCCCGCTAATCCCCAGGGCCACTCTGGGACTGCGGGGCCCCCAAAAGTGCCCCCCCCACAGCTTCTGCCTCCCAGACCTTGGCGGGGGGAGCCCCTGACCGCCCTCGAGACCCTCTGCCCCTTAGCCAACCCCTCGGCCCCGGCCTGGTCCGGCACCCTTAACACGCTGCTCAGAGCAGCGTGTCAGAGCTTTACCGCCTTGTATGCGAACCCGCGTTATATCGGGTTGCCTTATATCTGGGTAGAGGTGTATACTGTGAAGTATTTTAAATACTTAGAACTAAATTACTTGTTAAGTATGACAAATATATTTTATGATGGATTAGCTTTTTTATTTGTGCATTTAGTACTTCATGAAATTCAGCAATTGTATTCCAGTTAAATTCTACTGAAATGCATATGCACTAGTTTTGAAAATGCTACCTTTCCCTGAATGACAAGTAAAAGTAGGCACTTAGTAGCCACAGTACATAGATGATTTGGTTTAAAAAATTGTTTATTTAGATGATATTTTGTAGTAGGCTGAGGAAGGTGGGGCCTTGATATGAAAGGTTAAATTAGATTATGAAGCGCTCAGTGTAACTGCTGCAACAGCAGATGGCAAATCTGTGGTATAATATGAGAAATTCATAGTAGAAGTTTTCAAACAAATGAATAAAGTGACAATTGACCTTCAGGCACAGAGAAAGAGATTAAATTATTAAGAAACTGGAGAGGCCTTCTGTTCATCCCAGCAGGAAAATGGTTTTAATTATTCACCAAAGTGTACATGATTGACCCTTCATCTCAGCATTGTTCACACATTGTCATGTTTGATGCTCATACTGATGCTTTAGTGTTTTGTTCACAGTTTCATATTAATGCCAACTATCCCCGGATATGGAACATGCCACAGACATGGCAGTGTGAAGTTGAGGTTTATAAAGCAACCTATCACTTTATCTTTGCTCAAAAAAACTTCTTTGCAGGTAACTTCCTTATTTCATTGGTATCTAAATATTTAATTTGTGGAACATAAATATGTCTGGCACAATGTTTTTTCTTTGTCTTGTTGTTTTCCAAACCATTTTAGAGGAGCTGATAATGTTGTTTTAATGCAAGAACAGATGGCCTTATGGTCCATGTGGTTACGTTTGTCTAAAATGGTGAATAATCTTGAGGTGCTAAAAATCCAAATTTTTTATTTCCTTTAATCAAAGGAATGTATTGATTTGTGTTGATCATAACTTTTGAGATATTTCTTAGTTTAATATTGCTGATCTAAGAGACAAGTTGGCCTGCATTTCTGGTTGACTGTAAACTCCGAGGGGTTGGGGTCCTGATGTAATTCTTTCATAGTTAAAACAGAATTGGGACTGATAAAATCATGACAACTCCTTAAAACATTTTTCTTCTAGTAAATTAAAGAAGAAATTTAAAACACTGAATAATCAGAAACTAAATTAACTTTGACAATTTTTAATGATGTCCTTTACATTCCTGTTTTTCTTTGTCTGTTTCTGTTGATTTTTTTTAAACTTGCAAACTTATGTACTTGCTGTTCTGTCATGTAATAGGTACACTTCCTTTATCTGAAGCTTTGAGCTTAATGCTCAGTAAGTCAGACTTCAAAATCATACTTCTTGTCTTATCCTATACCGTTATTGCAGTTAATTATTAAATTGCATTTATATTTATGCATGAATATGATTTTAGTGTTTGCATATCTGTAAACAATTAGATTTCATTTTAATTTTTATTTTACACAAATAAAACTTGTACATCATTGATTCATCATTTTAATAGACTGAGGTAACTCTCTTTTGACTAGAAAGGTAAAGGATTGCTGAACTTTAGTAGTTCAATTCTTAGCTGGTGTAAATTGGCATAGTTCCCTGAAGCCAGTAGAGCTACAACGATCTACAGTCAAAGATCTGGCCCAACTACTTTTTAAAAGACTTCTCCAGAGTATTTAGTTTCACCTGATAAACTGCTAATAATTTGTCCTTTTTATTTTATATAATTTTAGATTTGATTCAAGACTGGTCCAGTGATAGTGCTCCTGATATTTTCTCATTTGTTCCCTATATATGGAATTTTAAAGTAATGTTTCATCAATTTGAAATGATTTGGGCAGCAAATCAACACAACTGGATTGACTGTTCCACCAAACAGCAGGAAAACGGTAAGAATGATTCTTCTGAAATTTTTTTTTATAATATTTTAAAAAAATATACCTATACCTGTTTTGTGTGATGTGTAGGCGATCTGTTGGGAGGTAATAAAAACTCATCACTAGGTACATTGTTTGTCAAGAGATATAAGGTTTTTCACATGCTCGCTACTGAAAACCTCTCACGCTCAAATACAGCAATTCTTCTTTGGGTGATTGCACATGTCCATTCAATTGTAGGGTTCCTGTGTGTGAGATTGCACAGTTCTCAGAATTTTCCCCCTCAGCGCTACCTGCTGGGGCAGCACAAGTGCCCTCTGCTGCCTAGAGTACCATGTGCAGGCATAAAGATCTGAGCCGCCCCCAAGTCCCCTCAGTTCCCTCCTACCGCTCGTGACAGTTGTTATAGCTCTCTGTCCTTACTTCTGCAAATCTTCATTCAAACCTGTAAATAGTACCCATTGTATAGTTAGTGTAGTTTAGTGGTTGGTAGGCTTAATTAAAAAAAAAAAGTGTATCTGACACCCAGCCTGGATACTGGCCCTAGTATCTGAGGTATGCCTCACTCTCTGGGTTTCAAGCACTGCCACTCTTGTGGTAAAGCAATACCTAATAATGACCCTCACCCCAGCTGCAAATGTGGCATTTGTAAAGGCTTCAAGCCACACTATAAAAAAGACAGGGCAGCTAGGTTGAAATATCTGTTGCTGGAATCGGTGCTACATTTTCCCCCAGAGCTGACTACCTTGGTCCAAGTACTGAGCACCTTTGGTGCTACTGGTGCTGAAAGGCAGATTGGCATTGCCAGTACCAAAGAAGAGGCATCGGAAATAGGAGTTGGTATTAGGATTGTTGAAAGAGACAAAGATCTGCCTGGGATCTTGAATAATTTGTATCATCTGCAAATTTTGCCACCGCACCCACCTACAGTGGAATGGACTTGTGAAACACATCTCGAAAAATAACAGTTATAGAAAGGTTATACAAACTTGTGAGGAACCTCTTTAGTTCATACTTTATTTTTGAAGGCCCTTGAATGTCTGACAAGGTAATAGAGGACTTTAATAACATCACAGTTTGCTGTATTACTACTCGCTGCAGCTATCAAGGTTTTATTGATTTTCAATTAACTTACTTTAAATGTACACTCATACATAGAGACTTCTAGAGATTTTTTTGAACCTCATGCATTAGAAATTTCTACCTCCTACTCTAATCAAAATTAGCGAGAACACAGTTCTACTATTAAAACAACCGTAAAAAGTGCATTTTAGAACACCAAAGCTTTTTAGCACAAAGCTCTTGGCTCCTAGATACTATACTAATGAGCACTTTACTAATGTTGCATGGCTTCAGTGTGAAAAGGGAATTGCTGGTGAAAGGACAGAAGGTAATTGCAGAGAACATAAGTACATAAGAATGGCCATAGTGGGTCAGACCTATGGTCAGTCTAGCTCAATAGCCTCTCTTCTGACAGTGGCCATTGTCAGGGGGAATAAACAGAACAGGCCATCATTGAGTGATCCATCCCTGGTTGTCCACTCCCAGCTTCTGGCATTCAGAGGCTAGGGATACCCAGAGCATGGGATTGCATCCCTGACCATCTTGCCTAATAGCCATTGTTGGACCTCTCCCCCATGAACTTATCTAATTCTTTTTTGAACCCTCCTATAGTTTTGGTCTTCACAACATCCCCTGGCAATGGGTCCACAGTTTGACTGTGTTGTGTGAAGAAGTACTTCTTCCTTTTGTTTGTTTTAAACCTGCTGCCTATTAATTTCATAGGGTGACCCCTAGTTCTTGTGTTTTATGTAGGAGTAAATAACAACAGTTCTCTATTTTATTTTCTTCATACCATTCATGATTTCACAGACCTCTATCATATCCCCTTGTAGTCATCTCTTTTCCAAGCTGAAAAGTTCCTATCTTTTAAATCTCTTCTCATACAGAAGCAGTTCCATACTCTTAATCAGTTTTGTTGCCCTTCTCTGTTCCTTTTCCAATTCTAATGTATCTTTTTTGAGATGAGGTGACCAGAACAGTACGCAGTACTCAAGGTGTACCATGGATTTATATAGTGGCATTATGATATTTTCTACTTTATTAGCTATCCCTTTCCTAATGGTTCCTAAACTTCTGTTAGCTTTTTTGACTGCTGCTGCACGTTGTGGACGTTTTCAGAGAACTAAACACAATGACTCCAAGATCTCTTTCTTGAGTGTTAGCTAATTTAGACCCAGTCATTTTGTATGTATAGTTGGGATTATGTTTTCCAGTGCGCATTACTTTGCATTTATCAATATTGAATTTCATCTGCCTTTTTTTTGCCCTGTCACCCAGTTTTGTGAGATCCCTTTGTAACTCCTCACAGTCTACTTTGGACTTAACTATCTTGAGTAATTTTGTATCGTCTACAAATTTTGCCACCTCACTGTTTATCCCTTTTTCCAGATCATTTATGAATATGTTGAACCGCACTGGTCCTAGTACAGATTCCTGGGAGATGCCACTATTTACATCTCTCCATTCTGAAAACTGACCATTTATTCCTACCCTTTTTTTCCTGTCTTTTAACTGGTTACTGATCCATGTGAGAACCTTCTCTCTTATCCCATGACTGCTTAGTTTGTATAAGAGCCTTTGGTGAGGGACCTTGTCAGAGGCTTAAGACACCATACACAGTATTGACTGGCTCACCCTTGTCCACGTGTTTTTTTGACCCCCACAAAGAATTCTAGTAGTTTGGTGAGGCATGGATTCCCTTTATAAAAGCTGTGTTGATTCTTCCCCAACAAATCATGTTAGTCTATGTGTCTGATAATTCTGTTTACTATAGTTTCACCAATCTGCCTGGTACTAAAGTTAGGCTTTCTGGCTTGTAATTGCCAGGATCGCCTCTGACCCTTTTTTTTTAAAATTGGTGTCACATTAGCTATCCTCCAGTCACCTGGTACAGAAGCATGGGATTGCATCCCTGGTTTAAATGATAGGTTATATACCACTGTTAGTAGTTCAGCAATTTCATATTTGAGTTCCTTCAGAACTCTTGCGTGAATATCATCTGGTCCTGGTGACTTATTGTTTAACTTATACATTTTGTTTTAAAACCTCCTCTATTGACACCTCAATCTGGGACAATTCTTCAGATTTGTCACTTAAAAAGAATGGCTTAGGTGTGGGAATTTCCTTCACATCCTCTGGAGTGAAGACTGAATGCAAAAAGTCAAGAACTCGATGAATGGATTGATTACAAGGAAATTCAGTACTTATCTGAAGGACCTGGCACGTTTTCAAGCATTAGCAGAAAGAATTTGATGGTGTATTAAACCATAAAGCCACAAGGCATTAGGTGTGACATTTTGGATCTTTCTGATGGTGATTTCATTCTTGATGGATAATTTTGCTTCAGTAACTTGGAATGGTCTTCTTTAGACACAATAATGCAGAGTACAAGCTTCCAAAAAAGAGAGGGTTCACAGTTTATTCCACATGTGTGATAGTTTAAACTTGCCATTTCCTTTGTAGTATGGATTCTGTAGCAGCTGTTTCTTAATTCTCACCCATACATTTGCAAGAAAACTTGTCTAATTGGGGAGATACTCCCATGAAGAAGAACTAACTTAAAATAGATAGGACTTGTTAGTATTGCTTATAATAGAAAAACATTCAATTTAAAAATGATTTTTATTTGAATTTATTTTTCTCTTCTCTTGTAGTTTATCTGGCAGCCTGTGGGGAAACTTTAAACATTATTTTCTCTCTGCCTTTCACTGACTTTGTTCCAACCACATGCAATACTAGGTTCTCTTTAAGGGTAAGTAAAATTTTATGTGCATGAATTACTACTGTAAACAGCATAGTATTTCTTCATGTGTAAGACAGTCAGTTGCCCAGTAACTTCTTGCTTCCTTGTCTAGGCCTTGTCCCAGGCTTGGGCAAGGAGTTTTCAGAACCCTGTTTCCTCCTTGTCTGAGAGGAAAGGGGAAGAAAAGATGTTCTCTTCTGCTGCTTATTCTTATAACTTTGTTCTGATGAGTCCACAGTTAACTCCTTCCTTGCCTACGTTAGTACATTCCATCACAAGCACTTTCTATTTAATAAATTTTTAATCCTTTGTTAATTTTTCTTCTTCCACTCTCCAACACCACTACCCTGCCCCCTTAAAAAAGCACATGCACTCTCAAAGGAACCACTCTTCAGCAAGGCCAACAAAACAAAATGTGTAGACCAAGCCACTTTGGAGATGAGAGCCCAAAACATTAAGAACTTCTTGAAAAGTTAAGAACAGCTATTTTTAACAAACATAACTGTAAAACATATATTCTGATGCCTTCACACTTTCCCCTCCAAACTTCCTAGAAAATTTTATTCTCGGATGACAGTTGTCATTGAAAAATTCAGCGTGATTGCTTTCTTTTTGGGGAAATTGGAGCTAGGATTTGAAAATGAGGTTTATAATGCGTGACTGGCTTCAACCTTACCTATGGATTGGCCATTGCTAATTCAGCTTTGTTCTAATAGGTAGGGCGGATAGTGCTGTGTATAATCAGAAGTGTTAGGTAACCTTACCTATAAGACCTGATTCGCAGTTGCTTATCAGATTGTCAAACTTTAATCGTTTGGGCTGAAATTTTCTATGCCTATTGTCTGCCTCAGGCTGAATGTTTTGGAAAGTTTCAGCCAAAATGCTTCAGCCATTTCTGAAATAGGGAACATAGTAAAAGATGCATTGTTTTGCCCGTGTTAAAAATTTCCTTAATAGTTTTGCTGAGAAGCTGTAGCACCTCCATTCTTTGGAGCATGAACTTAAAATTTAGCTGGGAGGTTATACTTGGGCCAGAGATGTGCCTTTTGCCTTCCCTATGAAAATATGTCCAAATTTGGCACAGTCTATGAAAACTTATTTTGCTTCCTTCTTGTGTGTGTACATTATGATACCTTATTTAATTACATGATCGCTTATTTTTTTCAACAAGACCCGTGCCTCATTCAGCTTACAGGGTGGATGGTGCTATGGCAGTGAATCAGGGCAGTGTAGTGAATGTAGCTGTTGTCTGTACGACCTTTTGATTTATTTGTTACAGAAGCCACAAAGTGTGTGGTAAATGGGCCTAGGGATTGTAGGACAAGGGATGGCCTTATGATTAAGACAGTTGAATATATTGGAATTTGAATGTTGAAATTGGAGACCAGAGCTGATTTTGTGCAACTTTTTTGGTTTCTGTGGGGTTCAAATAGTATTTTTCTACCTTCTTAGAAATCTCTTAACTAAGAGTTATATGAGGTAATTGTTAATCATTTTATTTTTAATTCCCGCCACAAAGCATTTCTAAGAAAGTAATGCTTTTGCCCCAGCTAACCTAATTAAAATGTGAAGCTCTTTAATCTAAGCTGGCTGAGTTAGGGGAAAAAACTGATCAACAGTTTACTGCATAAAATCTGTACCTTGATGATTTGTCTTATTTCTCATCTTTCTTAAATGCTGCTATAGCTTTCTTGTGAAGTTCTGTATTAAATCTGATTTTGAGATAGTGCTATCTCATATTTTTCTCTTAAACATTTACAAGGTCTATCAAGAAGCTTGCTTCTAACTGGAGACACAATAGTTGGGGTTGCAGATAGCAATTTCCCCCATCCTCTTCAGATTGACTATATTTTCAAAATGGAAAATCGGGGTGAGGGGGGGGGGGGTAAAGAGAATCTGGTGGGGAAGTGAGAGGAAAAAGGGATACCTCTTTCCCTTTGGAATGAAAGCTCTGATACTTGATAGGAGCGGGTGGGAAAACAGTGTTTATACAACTGTCACCCTTTTATTGTTTTTTTTCTAGTTGCTTCTGCCTCTGCCAAAACCACTTCATCCACTAATGCGTGTGCTCCCCCGCTGCTTAATTCTGCTCAATCCACCATCATTCTGACTCAAAATCTCATCTTCCTTCAACTTAAACCCCACCTTCCTTCAACTTAAACCCCACTTGCTCAGAAATATGCCACACCAGTCTGAGAAATTCCCCTCTTCCCTCCTACCTAACCTCTTCACAGCTCAGAAACCTTCCCTCTCCTACTTCATATCCCACCATCAGGAATGTCCTCGCCTATTTCAGAAACCTTCCAACTTGTTGCTGGGTCTGGAAGAGCATGGAGCATCTGCAGTTGATCTGAAGCAGCCCTGCAGAAGTCCCTGTTCCATGCTTCCTCTTTATTGCTGCTGGCATGTGCTGCAGGACCTGATGTCCCCTGTGGATTTCAGGCGTACCACAGACTCCAAGGTCTGGAATATTCCCAATGGCTGCCACTGATTTTACCCTTTGTAGTAAATTGGCCACAGTACTCAATTGTGGCGTTACTAATAGAGCTTAGCGCCTTTAGCCCCAATGACCAGCTACTTCCATCTAAGACTAACATGTATCTTAGGACACTGACTGCAAGTTTATTTTATATATTGGTGATCAGAAGACACTTAGTGGGCTGTAACTCCCTCCTCCCTGGAAACTAAATGTAGTATTTTAGTGACATAACTTTTATGTGCTTTCAGTCCCCAGGAAGAGTGCTCTTCTCCATGGCAAACCACACTGCTTTAGTCAGCTCAAAATAATCTTGCTGTCCTATTCCCTCGATTTCAGATATTGTGTTTTGTATTTATGGCTGTATTGTTTGAAAACTTGTTTTGTATGAAAGCTTATTTTCCTGATATGAAAATTTTTGAATACCAAAAATCCAAGTATGTAAATGAAGATGAATCTTAACAAATATTTTTCACTGATAATGGTTTTTTATTTGGGAAGAACTACACACATGGATATACTGTTTGCAAGATTAGGCCTTATGTCCATATCCTGCAAAGACTTATGAGCGTGCTTAGTTTTAAGCATTTGAGTAGTCTCATCATGTCCAGAAGTTAAGCATCTAGTTAAAATATCTTTGGGAAGCACATAGTCTAATAGAGAACTGTATTTAAAATTCATGGATTCTTTCTTTGACTCAGCCAGTAATTTTCTGAGTGACCCTGATCAAATTTCTTAAATGTCTCTGAATGTTAGTTTGCATATGTAGAACAGAAATAATACTTAACCACCTCACATGAATGTTATGAAGTTTGATTAATGTTTAAAAGTACTTGGAAACTTTTTATGAGCAGTGATGTAAGTGTGAATTATTATTATTATTATTTATTATTATTTTATTAGTAATTAGAATTTGAAATCTTCAGATTCTAGGGTTTTGGGGACTTGAATTAAATATTACATTTTTGAGGTTTTATGATGAAAAGGACATTAATGTGTCAGTGTGCTCTAGAGGTCAGATCAGAACATGTGACTAGAAATCATGACTCCTGTGTTCTATTCCTGGATGTGCTATATGGCCATGAGCAAGTCACTTGGAGCATGATTTTTTTCAGAAGTTCTGAGCACCTCTGATTCCAGTTCAAATCAGTGGGAGCTGTGAGTGTTCAGCACTTCTGAAAATCAGGACCTTACATCTCCTTGCTGCATGCAGTTCATCTGTCTATAAAGTGGGTATACTGATGCATAGAACAGTACAAATAGTACTTGGAGTTCAAGTTATGCATATTGTTAATATTTCATTTTTAGGGAGAAGATGTCGATCTTCATTTATTTCTACCAGATTGCCATCCTAGTAAATATTCTCTCTTTATGTTGGTGAAAGATTGTCATCCTAATAAAATAAGTCCTGAATCCTGTATTTCGGCTGAATGTCAAAGTGGTCAAAAAACAGGCAAGCCCAAGTGGAGGAATATTACTCAAGAAGAGTGAGTTCTGTTATCTCATGGAATATATATTAGCTCCTTGTATATTTGTGTTTGGGGTAGAATATTATTAGTTCTGTTGTCTTTCTGTATGCAATAGGAAAAAATGAAACAATGGGTACTTTAAAAATATATTTCTTTCGGATAGGGCTGGATGGGTTGAATGCTGGACTGTACCAAGTGTTACATTCACAATTGACTACACTTGGCATCCAATTTATCCACAGAAGGCAGATGAACAGTTGAAGCAATCATGTAAGTGTCACTTCATTTCTATTGTATTTTAAGAGTGATTGCAAAAAACCCCGTGACTTAGTATGATCATTTTGATTTAAAATTGTAGTTTGCACAAAAGAAATTGAAAGCATGCAGATGTAATGCGCAGGCAATATTCTGAATAAGATTACATTCCCCTTCTTCCTGGACCTCACCTTAACTCTTTGTTAAGCACAGGGTAGAGTTCCATCTCTTCAGGACTTGTCAAAAAGCATTACACAGAGTTAGGCTATTGTGTGTAAAACAATGGTAAATGGAAGTTAATAATTCCCAGTTAATTTTCAAAGAGAAAGTAAACAAAATTTAATGCACAAAAACCCCATTGTAAATAGTGTTTTGCAATACTATGAATAATTTTTAAACAAAAGCTATTGGAGAGTAAATCTACTGGTGTTCCATATACAAACTTCCCCCTTTTGCTTCTCTTACAAACATTAAAATATAATGTTTTAACATAAAATTTTTCTATACTTTAATGCACACATCAAAACACATTCCCCCCTGATCTTCTCTGAGATGATTTCTTATTCTTAATAGTGTGGCCCTAGTGTGCAGTGTGTCACCTGGACTCTTCAGAGTTTGAGACATTTCAGAACCCCATCGGCAAAACAAACAGTCTGGGGATCTCCACAGCTAACAGTATTCCAGCTCTTGGCTCAATAGCTGAGCGATCCTCTCAGTTGGTGGAGAAACAGAACCTATATCCAAAGTGGTACAGGGATTGGGATCAGCATATAAAATATCGATTCCCTGAATCTCTATAAGGCTCTCTTTCTATAGGATACCATCTTCTCCCCATAAGGCAGGGGCTGGCAAACTTTTTGGCCTGAGGGCCGTATTGGGTTTCCAAAATTGTATGGAGGGCTGGTTAGCGGAGGCTGTGCCTCCCCAAACAGCCAGGCGTGGCCCGGCCCCAGCCCCTATCCAACCCCTCCTGCTTCTTGCCTCCTGACGGCCCCCCCTGGGACTCCTGCCCCATCCAACCTCCCCTGTTCCCTGTCCGCTGACAGCCCCCGGAACCCCCGCCTCTGACTGCCCCCCCCACCCCATCCAACCCCTCCTCTCATTCCTGACTGCCCCCTGCCGGGACCCCTGTCCCCATTCAACCCCCCTGTTCCCCGCCCTCTGACCGCCCCGACCCCTATCCACAGCCCCGCCCCCTGACAACCACCACCCCGAACTCCCCTGTCCTCTATCCAACTCCTCCTGCTCCCTGCCTCCTTACCACGCTGCCTGGAGCACCGGTTGCTGGCGGCACTACAGCCGCGCTGCCTGGAGCATCGGTGGCTGGCGGCACTACAGCCGTGCCACCCACAGCACCAGGACAGGCAGCCGCGCCACCAGGCTGGAGCTAGCCACGCCACCGCGCAGCACAGAGCACCGGGTCAGGCCCTGGCTCTGCAGCTGCGCTGCCCGGCAAGAGCTCGCAGCCCCCCCGCCCAGAGCATTGTGCTGGCAGTGCAGTGAGCTGAGGCTGCGGGGGAGGGGGAACAGCAGGGGAGGGGCCGGGGGCTAGCCTCCTGGGGCAGGAGCTCAGGGGCCAGGCAGGAGGGTCCCGCGGGCCGTAGTTTGCCCACCTCTGCCATAAGGCCTGTCAAGACTTATAAGTCAGGCAAGAATGCACAAACCATCATTTCACTTAAGTGCTGTCCCATTTTTTTCTTCTCTCTGACAGAATCCCAGTTTAGAGCGGTTAGCTGATAGCCAAATGTAAGGCTCTATTGGTGACAGATGCTCTCTTCTCCCCCCACCCCCAAGTCCTTCCTCTAGGTCCATAAAACACACTGCAGTGGACCAAACATTATCCTACTGGAGAGCTGCCACAGTAAATCTAGAATAGTGCTGACCTGTATCCAAAGTGGTACAGGGATTGGGACCCACCCATCATAGTAGACAACTCTTGTTCCTGTATCAATCAGTGCTGTGTCCACTGTACCATCTGTAACTCCTATATTTATAACCTCTCCCCCCCTGCACTATAGCTAAGCTCTCAAGCGTACCTAGAGTATGACCTGCCAGGTGGCTTGCCCACAATGAAAATTTCATATGCTCTGCACGTCCTGAAGCTGTATGTCGGGTAACTCCCACACATAGTCTGAAAGTTTCTGGGTCCTTCTAACTGAATTGCCCTACTCTGCATGTATGCACCGACAGAGTATCTATTTAATATCCATGTCTCCTCCCTATTGATCCTTTCCCCCTGCCCTGGAAAAACACAATCCAATGCTACAGTATTAAGCTTGTGGGCAGGAGCAGTGCCAGGATTTTTGCCGCCCTAGGCGGCAGCGCTCCTCCTGTGAGCATTCGGCGGCGGGGGTCCTTCCGCTCCACGTCTTTGGGGCACTTCGGCGGCGGGTCCCGGAGCGAGTGAAGGACCCGCCGCCGAATTTCCGCCGAAGACATGGAGCGGAAGGACCCCCCGCCGCCGAATTTCCACCGAGGGCGGCAAAATGCCGCCCCCCAAATCCTGCCGCCCTAGGCGACTGCCTAGGGTCGCCTAGTGGAAGCACCAGCCCTGCTTGTGGGTTACACAGACTATCAATTCTTGTCAAGTGGGATAACGTGAATCTTTGAGTTGAACCAGTTTCATCAAAAGCATGGTTTTCAATTTCAAATTTTAAGAAGATGCATCATTTCTCTAAGTGAAAAGCAGGTAACAATGCATTAGACTTGTCCAAACTTGTTAATCTAACCTTGCCCTTTACCTGAGAAATAGAGCACTTCTGCTAAATGAATCATTTCACAAATCCAAAAATTTCTTGTTGTTTGGAAGACAGTATTATGGGGCACATTAATTTTGCCCGGTAGTTGGTTTTCCAAGCGGTCTTTCTATTCTTTAGATAATTTTGTAATATTATTCAATTCTTACAGTATTGTACCTTCATAGACAGAGATGGAAGTAGGTTTAAAAACAGGAATGTGCTGGCTACCGACGTTGCCATTTTCAGCTGGCAATTTACTAGATATTGCAGTAGAAGTGAGCCAAGAGGATGGGTTAGGAGTGCTACAGATTGATTAACGGAAGGTATTTCATGCATAAGTGTTGACAAGGATGAAACTGTGAAGGTGCTTGTGGGAGAAGGGGAGGTGAATGGACAGGGGAAGTTGGAATTATTGGTTTGAGGGGGGCATACAATAAGCTCCAAGAGAAAATGATAATCTGAAGGGACAAGTTGTAAAATGATCTTAAAAGTAAGGCTAAGAAGTTTGTCATTGATGTGGTGGTAAAGTGAGAGCCAATGAAATGTCTCTGAGTGTGGAATGGTATCATAATGACAAGCCAGAAAGGTGATTTTAGCAGTAATTTGAATCGATGTGATTGGGCCAAGGTAGGTTTTAAAAAGGACTACAGGAGGTTTAAGTAGTGCAAGATTGGAGATAAGTCCCTCCATGTGAGTTTTAGAAGCACGGATGTAAAATTAAAGACCAGATCTGAAAGAGATTTCTCTGGAAGTAACGGAAGGATGAAGATTCAGCTTGGAGCTCTGGGTTCCAAGTTTATCAGTGACTTGTATACCAAATTTGCTCCATTTACAAGTCAGTGTTTTCTAACTCCCAGCCCTGCAATTAAATCTGCATCTGCAAGCTTTCACATCAGATATAGCAACTGAAACTTAGGCCAGGTCTACACTACCGCGGTAGTTCGACGGCTGGCAATCGAACTTCCGGGTTCGATTTATCGTGTCTGGTCTGGACGCGATAAGTCGAACCAGGAAGTGCTCGCCGTCGACTGCGGTACTCCACCTCAGCGAGAGGAGTACCGCGGAGTCGACGGGGGAGCCTGCCTGCCGCGTGTGGACCGCGTCTGAACCGCCGTAAATTCGAACTAAGGTATGTCGACTTCAGCTACGTTATTCACGTAGCTGAAGTTGCGTACCTTAGATCGAATTGGGGTGTTAGTGTAGACCAGGCCTTGGTTAACAATTGCACTGATGATGCATAAATGAGAAGAGAATCCAGGTCACTTGTCTAGAGCTATACTAGGTCTATAGTGCTAATGGGAGTAAAAAATAGTAAATTTTTATTTTCTGACAAATCAGTTAAAATTCTGAATGGACACAGGGAACAAATCTGAGTAAGAAAGAGATACATATAATCTGCTTTCTCATCATGACATGTAACCAAATAATGGCCATTTTAAAATTAGGTACTGAATATTCACAGTAGAAAATCAAGTTGAGTTTAAGGTGTGTCCTTAAAAGATGCACTGGATACATGTGCATAGTTAAAACATCCGAAGAAGTGGGTTGTAGCCCACGAAAGCTTATGCTCTAATAAATTTGTTAGTCTCTAAGGTGCCACAAGTACTCCTGTTCTTTTTGCGGATACAGACTAACACGGCTGCTACTCTGAAACCTATAGTTAAAACAGTTCAGTGAACACTGAGTCTTACAAACTACACTGGGAGAGCTGCAAGCTTATTTCTTTTGGAGCAAGGAATTTACAGGCCTTCCCAGCAGAAACTTGTAGCTCCAGAGCAAAGCCTTAAAAGCCCAAAAGTTAATGACTTTTCTTTTTTCTTTGTCTGTTTAACCCCAATTCCCAAACCATAAGTCAACCCCAGCCACACCATGCTCTGAATTAAAAAGAAGGAATGGGAAATAAACTATACATTTCCCATCTTTGTTATTGCAGTATTTCAGTTGTTCCATGGGAGTAAATTTAGGCCCACAATGTCCTCAATATAGATATTTATTTGTAATATGTTCTTTTATTCCCCGTTCTTCTGCAATAGCTGCATGGCTGTGGAAAACCTAATACCCATACAACTGAAAGTCGCACCAATTTTACTTTAAAAGTGAGAGAAAAGAATAATAAAAAATAGTGTTTTCCATAATTTAAATTAAAGATATTGGCTCTCTTGTGCACAGTAGCTTTTGAATAAAACATTTCATACTCTTTGTTAAAATTACTTGATTTTTCATTGTTTGCTTGGATAAATGTATTTATTCTACATTATAGCTATATCAGTTGTCTGATAGCCAACCACACTAGAAAACTACAAATCTGTTCTAAGTTAATGAATGTTCATTTGCAGAAATTCACAAGTAAATTCAAAAGATTTACTTTTTTGTTTATTCCTAAGTGTCAGAAATGGAAGAAACTATGTTATCTGTACTAAGGCCATCACAGAAGACAGCCGATAGAATCATTTCCTCTCCCACAGACTCAACTCGCCTTCCTATTGATCCCTCAGAACTTCCACCTGATAAGCTACATGTGGAACTAGAAGTCTCTCCGGATTCTCAGATAACCCTGTATGGACCTCTACTAAACGCCTTTCTGTTTATAAAGGTATGAATAAAAGTAGCACATACCATTCTTACAAGTAGGGAAGAAATATTTAACATGATTAGAAGTTCAAATCACTCCGATTTTATAAAGTAGCAAATACCCTATAAGAGAACAAACTTAATTTTTTTGGCATTGTGGCACCTGCTTGTAACAAGGTCTTCTCATGAGTTGCTAAGAACCTTGTTTTTCTAAAACAGAAGCAAACCTTTTTTGCATTTAATTGAAGTTAACCATATTCAAGCATGGTCAAGTTTAATGAGATAAAATGCATCTTACTTACAATAAGAGCAGTCCCATGCAGAATCTCTTTAGTGTTGTTAAACAAATAAAAACCATGGAGTCCTCTGTCTCAAATAAAAACTGGTAACTTAGTGGTGATTTTTCTAATGGGTGTGTAGTGTAATATTGGCGGCGACAGCCATGTGATAGAGAATATATATATTTTTAAACACTAGAAAATGCCTGAAATAGCTTTTCTGTAACAATGTGTGTTATGTGCAGGATGAATGATGATATGGAATAAAGGTTTGTATCAGCACTTGTTTCAGTGTACATAACTCACTTGTGACTTTGTTACTTAGGAGTATTGCACTCATCGCAAACTCACAGGGTGAAAATTTATATTGCACTATCGTGGTGTGTGTGTGTGTGTGTGTGTGTGTGTGTGTGTGTATGTGAGTGTGAGAGAGAGTTTTTTTTTTTGGCCCTAGTAGATTTTTTGGATTCCTTTTTACCTTGACAAAATCCAGGAAATTCAAAGTTAAGGCTGATAATGCATCATTAACTACACGTCTACCCCGATATAACATGACCCGATATAACACAAATTTGGATATAATGCGGTAAAGCAGTGCTCTGGGGGGGCAGGGCTGTGCACTCTGGCGGATCAAAGGAAGTTCAATATAACGCGGTAAGATTTTTTGGCTCCCGAGGACAGTGTTATATCGGGGTAGAGGTGTAGTCCCCATTGTGCATATATAACCCACACACCTTCTGGGTGTGGTGTTCTGTCCCATCTAATAATAATAATATATGGAGATATCCTATCTCCTAGAACTGGAGGGGGACTCTGAAAGGTCATCAAGTCTAGCCCCCTGCCTTCACTAACAGGACCAAGTACTGATTTTGCCCCAGATCCCTAGGTGGTCCCCTCAAGGATTGAACGCACAACCTTGAGTTTAGGAGGCCAATGCTCAAACCACTGAGCTATCCCTCCCCCCTATGGGACCGAGACCACTTAGAGAGAGTTAAATGAGTCTGCTCTACAGCCTTAGCTAACAGCCGGTTGGCTTTTAGCTCATGTGGCAGAGGCTCATGCACTAAGCTCCAGAGGCCCCAAATTCAATCCCGTCTGACGATGACCGGGGTCTGTCAGTGTTACACATAGGTCTGACTCTTTGAACAGGGAGTGATTAGTATCTTACTGGATGCTGCTATATATGGGCACAACAGGGAGCATGAAAGGATCATTTCAGCCTTAACTGTTAATTTAATGAGATCTTTGATGTTGGTTTTTGGTAGTAAAAATTCAAATTGACCTACCAAATTACACTAAACAGATGTCTAATTAGCATCCTTAATTTTTTTTTAGGTATCTTTGCAGAACTTGGACCCAGCATGCACAGGGTTCTGCTTAGGGACAGCATTTCTTTAGAGATTCCTGATTTCTGCTGTATATTGAATTCTTTGAAATGTCTATAGTGATGCACAGTAGGTGGGAAAATGTTAGAGTAAATTAAAATGTTAAAGACATACCCTCCAAGGACATATAAAATAAAATATTTTTCATTTATTTTCTTGGATATTAACTTTTGCATTTTAAAATGCTTCCATTTCCTCCCCTCTTCTTTGTGGCTGTGCCTTCTTCTAGGGCAGTGGCTCTCAATCAGAGGTACACATACCCCTGGGGGTATGCAGAGGTCTTCCGGGGGTATGTCAACTCGCCTAGGTAGTTGTCTAGTTTTACAGCAGACTACATGAAAAGCACTAGCGAAGTCAGTACAAACTAAAATGTCATACAGACAATAACTTGTTTATACTGCTCTATATTATTACTAATCAGTGTTTCTCAATCTGAGGGGCACAATTTATTTTATAATTGTATGGTAAAAATGAGAAAGTGAACAATTTTTCAGTAATAGTGTGCTTTGAACTTTTCTGTTTTTTTGTCTGATTTTGTAAGCAAACACTTTTTAAGTGAGGTGAAACTTGGGGTATGTAAGGCAAATCAGCCTCCTGAAAGGGGTACAGTAATTTGGAAAGGTTGAGAACAACTGTTCTAGGGGAAATGGGGGTAGAGCGGGAATTGTTGTTGTCTTTCTGGTGTAAAAGGGAAGGAAGTGAACATGTGAATCTCACTTGATTGATTAGGAAATGTTCATGTGCTCAGAAATCTGCTTGGAGTAAAGCAGGTTGGCGCTATGATCAGTTCTTTTAGGAGGCTTTCATTGCAGGGCAGAGCAGGGTGAGTTTTCTGAGACGGGTAAATTGCAAGGTCTTTTAAGTAATCAACTTTCTTGGCTGTTCTGAGACACTTACACAGACTGAAAGAGAATTTTGGATGTTTGTGTAAATTATGAATTTTAAGTGGGACTTTCAGAAGTGCTCACCAGTGGCTTAGCTGTGCTCTCATTTAAGTCAGTGGGAGTTTAACCATTGAATGTGGTGGGAGTAGAATTAGACTAATATGAAGTGCTTTTGAAAAACCTTCCCCATCTCATGATATATTTATACTGTAGCATCTACATAAGGGGTGGCATGATAGGAAGTTTTCGTTCTGGCCCCTGTTACTGTAAAACTCCGGAGATTCACATGATAGTTTCCCCTTTCTCAGAACTCTTGTTCTCTGGAGGAAGCTTCCTCCTCTGATGAGGCTGAACTCCTATGGTATTTATAAGCAATATTATGTCATAAAACAGGGAATGCAAGTGCTTGGGTCCCCTAAAACTGTCTTCTAAAACTACTGAAATGCTGTTTGAAAATTAAATGAATGACAGTCTTTCCAAGTGTTCCCATTTGTTATACTTTCTAGTATTTTTGTCATTTGTGCTTAGATTCTTTTAGTCCAACTTTGCTCGCAATGTACCTTCCTCTTTTTTGTTTGTACTTGCTTCTTAATGACTATTGTGTGATATGGTTGGGTTTTTTTTTTTTTTTTTTTTTAATTTTCAGTTTGTGTTCACGGATTCTGTGTGTGGGAGGTTTCAGTTGCATATATATTTTTCAAAGTTTAATATGACTTTCAGTTCTAGCTGTGAAGCCCTTTAATGTGGAACATTCTGTTTCTTCAATTCACTAATTTCTAATGGGTGCTTGTAGTGCTTTGTATCCTCTCTGAGAGACTTTAGCAGCAAGTTATCGTATTTTTGATACCCTCTACCCGTCCTTCCTTAACATACTTCTGCCAGTTCTGTCTCTGTCACAACATTCAGCTCCTGCAGAGAAATATCCTCTGAAATTAGGAAAACAATTAAGTGACTGTTCAATCAATCAATAAATAAAAGAGGGGGTGGGAGAGACTGTACTGTGGAGCTTCTAGGATGACCAGACAGCAAGTATGAAAAATCAGGACAGGGGGTGGGGGATAATAGGAGCCTATATAAGAAAAAGACCCCAAAATTGGGACTGTCCCTATAAAATCAGGACATCTGGTCACCCTAGGAGTTTCTGAGGTGAAAGCTTCTTATTTTGAGTGCATTGTATAGCATTTTAATGCATAAACCACTTTAGAAAGAACTAGTATAATTTAATTATATTGCATGTCCCAGATCAGGCTTTGGAATATGCCTTTTATGCAGGTCTTTTCCCAAGGTTTGGAGGATATGAGTCTATTTTCCTTCTTTATATTAGATAGTGCCTCTTTATGATTTACTTGACATTGTCTCACATGCTTAAACATACATGGGATTGAGGTCTTAGAAGGCAAGTGACATGAAGGGTGAGGACAGAGGGATACAACTAAATATATAAAATTTTAGTGTACAAATTTGAGTTTTAAAAAATTATCCTCATTTGCCCCTCAACCTGGTCATTAATCGTCTTACTTCTTATAGGATGAAGGTAAATGGCTTTTTTCCCCTTGCAATATTTATTTAAATGCGGGGAGGGGAGGAATTAATTCCTCCATTTAAAAAAAATTTCTGACTATCTTTTTCTAAAAATTAAAGTGTATATTTTGTGACTCAAGGGAATAGTAATTGGATATAGATCTCTTGATCTCATCGTCATTAATTCAAATTTAGCCCAGATTAGTAATGACAAAAATATCCTTGCGAAGCTGAAGACTGGTGGTCTGTGTGAAATAAGTTTGGACTCAGTCTGGTTCCCAATTGACAGCTCAAAAACCACCACCACCATTGACATTAATTGGCTATACATGGAGATTGAATTATCTTATCCCTAGAGTGGCCTCTTCCAGAGTGCGTGAGGTAGCACTACTTAGGCATGTGCCATGACCATTCTGTGGCTAAAGAGAGGACTTCACTCCTCAGGGTGCTCAGTCCAGCACCTCTTCCAAAGTACTTAATTAACATGAAAATGTCATTTAGCAACCTTTTGTTGTCCAAAACCCCTCCTTGAAATATCTAACTTGTTAACTTACTTTACTTTTCTACAGCATTTCTTAACTTTTTCTAAAAAAACCCAACAAAACAAAAAAACCCACACACAACTTTTAAAAATCTGGTTCTGACACACTTTATAAATAAAATGTAGGAAATCTCTCATTATGATGGGGTTCGAGCTTCCCCAAAGAATTTGACAATAGTTATTTCTGTCTGAGTTAATTGAGTGGGGATTGACTTAGAAGCAAAGTGAATGTTTGGCCCAAGAGGATGAATTTGTGAACTTCTGATATGCTGCAGGCATGTAAAACTTGCAACAATAGATGGGTTTGTTGAAGAGGTATTGGATGACTGTTGCTCATGTCTGACCACTGTAGGCTGTATTTCATAAAATAAATTAAAAAATGAACATCTATCTAGCAGTACCTCCAGCTATAGCCCAGCGCCAGAATACTTTTTAAAATCCTGCTCCTGTCCCACTTCACAATTTTCACTCACACTCCCACCGGCTCCTGCTTTGTTCCTTGACCTTTTATTCTGCTCCCGCTATTATGGCAGCGGGATTTGTGGGATACCAGTCCTGTTGCAGAGCTCTAAAATGGTCCCAGGAATAGCTGGAGTTGCTACTCTCAGCAGATGTCTCTCCACCAGCACCCACTCCATGCACCCCTGTGTAATGGGATCGGAACCCCCCACCTTCCCAACTCACCCATGAAGAGGGATCAGAGTTCTCATGCACCCCTACAAGGGGATGAGCAGCCCCTGTATCTCCTAATCTCTTTGTGTGGGGAAGGGAAACCTCTAACCCTCCATGCAAATGGCTGGAGAGCCCTTGCATCATCATGCAAAGGGGATGGGTCCCCATGTGTCACCATCCCCAAAAACAGGCAAGGAGATTCCATGATAGCTCCCTTACTTCTGTGCTGCTGCTGGTGGTGGCACTGTCATCAGAGCTGGGCAGCTGGAGAGCGGCAGCTGCTGGCCAGAGCGTTCGTGTTGTTTGCTGCACGGGAAAACTATTGTCATTCCTCTGTCATCCTGCCCCACAATAGCCACTCCGACCCGGGTTGTTTCTTGAATTTTTATCCTGCTCCCACTATTATGACAGTGGGTCCTGCAGAACCTGTGGGATCCCAGTCCCGATGCAGGGCTCTACTTCCAACCAGGTATTTGTGTCACAGTACTGAAAGTAAAATTTAGTATAGCTAGATTGAGGTTGCTTTCGAAGACAATGCTGTAAGACACTGCTCCTGCAAAGCACATAGCCAGGTGCTTAACTTTGCTCACTGGAGTGATCCTACTGGAATTAGTGGGGCTGCTGTTATGAGCAAAGTTACACCTGGGCTTCAGTGTTTTGTAGAATTAAAGTCTTAGTGCTTATAAGGGGGGATGGGGGAGAGGGTTAGGACTAGGATATAGGATAAGCACTGATTTGTGTTACATGATACTGCTAATGACACAGTTCATCTTCTTTAATGATGACTGCAATAATTCACTTCCCAGGAAAATTACTTTGGAGAAGATGACATGTACACAGATTTTGAAGAAGTCATTTCAAGCCCTGTCCTATCAATGTCAACATCTTCAAGCTCTGGGTGGACAGCAGTTGGATTGGAGAATGACAAAAAGGGAACTGAGAGTTCAGCCAAACCAGTTCATCCCCTAACCTTGCGCCCTTGGGACATTACTGTACTCGTTAATGTGTACAAAGTGCATGGACGGCTACCAGTGGTAAGCTCTTGGGAACCTTGGTCATCATGTGAAACCAAGTACTTATTAATTCCTTTAAAATATTTTATGAAGTATAGTAAAAGTGATATGCATTTAAAAATTATAGGCTATACTGCAGTATGTGTGAATCCAAGTGCTTTATGAAACTCTTAAGTTCTATCCTATCTTTGGTGGGTTTTGGGTCAAATTACGCATATTTTTTCCATAATATAATATGTAAATGAATGCAGAAATTTGATACTTGATGGATTTTGCTGATTGAGTCAGAATTAGATAATTCTTGTGTGTAAATCCATTTTGTATTTAATGAAGAGTAACTATTGTTCCATCTAGTTGATAGTCATTATTTTTCATCAGCCATAATGATTACTCTCTAAATCAACAGGGCATCTCACTAATCCTGCAATCTGATCTGTGCAGGCAGACCTTTATGGAGCCCTGTTAATTTTAATGGGACCCTGGGACTGTGTGTGTGTGTGTGTGTGTGTGTGTGTGTGTGTGTGTGTAAGGGTTCACCTGCACAAAGTAGAGAAGCCTATGTAAATTAATATTAAATGGAGTTTAAAGTAGTAGACTTTTTCATCAAGCACTGTAGGAAAACTGTCACATTCTGCAGAGGTTTTTCATAATCTGACAATCTCAGTGGTTTTGTGTATCCGCAATGTCTCACAACAGGATATGTTGATTAATTTTAGCACGGCAGCACGGATGGTCCTGAATGCCCTACTGCTTTCTTGGAAAGATTGTGTTTTGAGATGAAAAAAGGATTTAGGGAGACCATGCTTCAACTTGTACTATCCCCACTGAATTTATTCTTGAATGACAGCTATCAGGTAATATGAGTATTCTTTTGTGTTGGAGGAATGCTGATTTTTACCGTGAAACTAAAACTGAATCATGTTTTGATTGAATCCTCTCTAACACACACAGATGTTTCAAGGCATTTAAGAAAACTATATAGTAGTAATTCTGCTTGTCATGCATTCTGTATTTATCACTGTTCAGCCTTCATTTTGAGTTCATGCACAAGAGAAAAGGATCTTTGTCCTGTTAACGTTGCCTTAAAATTGTGTAGAAGGCATGCTGTAGGTGTCTGGAATTTGGGCTTGCATCTGAGCCTGGGATCAGCTAGTTCCACCTCCCTCGTGAGCAATGGAGGACTCGCAACTGAATCATCTGATTGGCCAGCTTGACCGATTGGCTGGAGGAACATGCTCCAGACATGACCTTAAGCCCAGCAGCAGCATTTGGCCGACAGTTGGCCAATGCTTATGCTTGCAATTGTGATTGTTTTTGTACCTGCCTTGCTTCCTTGCTCAGTTCCTGGTTTCTAACTCTGACTTTGACCATTGGCTCTGACTCATGAGTCCTGACTCCAGCGCTGACCACTAGGCATGACTACCCATGCCCCAGTCTGTGACAATTTGAGCAGCTCAAAATAAAAAGGGGTAGCTTCCTTTTCTATGATGGATCCTACAAAAGCTAACATCCCCTTGTTGGGCTTGGTAAATGCCCTGCAGAATTTACAAAGCTAGATTAGGGCCCTGCAAGTGCAAAACACTGCTTTTCAGAGTCAAGCCGTGCCTCAGGTCCATGGAAACTGAAGATTTGTTTACTAAGCAAGTTCAATCAGGGCTATGGAAAGTTCCCTGGCTTTCTGAACCAATGTTGGCTCCTGTTCATATATGCCTCCAAATTTACCCCATGGACTGGTCCAGGTTGGGGCTCATCATTAGTTGCTGACCAGTAGGTGCTGGCCTGAGCCTTTCCATTGCTGGAGAAATCTAGCCCCCCACTGCACCAACTTGAGAATTTTGCCTGAGCCCTTGCAGCTTGGACATAGCCCAACCCCATCTCTCTGATTCAGAGAAAGATCAACACCAGCCATTGGGTCTATACCTCTACTGTGGAGGTCCAGAATACTTTGCCTTGAATTGTCCAGCGTAGGGTTGATCTGTTTGGTGGTCAAGAAAACGCCAGGTTCCAGCCCGATATAGGGGTCTGGGCAGGGCTTGAAATTCACCCCTCGCTTCTGTCCATGGCACCTATTTGTCCTTGGGTAGCTTGATGGCATCTAATCAGCACCCAACACACCTTAGGCTCCTGTTCTGTCTACAACATACCCTGATGATAGAGGTCAGTTGGGAAGCACTGGTGGACTCTGGTACCTCCAGTAATTTTATGGCCATAGAATTTTCCCTAAAACATAAGATCCTGACACAACGTAAGGTGATCCCTGATATAATAGAAGCCATCAGTGGTTCTCTCCTATCCTCAGGCCCAGTCTCACAAGAAACCTCACCTTGGAGGTCACTGCCCTTCAGCATCATTATGAGTCCCTCCCAGTTTGGTTTGGTCCAGTCCATTCCCCACACTTGCTGTTCATCCTCTGCATCATGTGGCTTGTTATTCATGATCCCTACATCCTTTCGGGTTCAAGCAAAGTCAATTTTAATTTCTTGTGCTGCCAGCAATCTGCTTTCCTGCTGGCAGCCAAGTTTGAGGTTAGAGCTTCTCCCTAGTGCAACTCCAAGCAAGTCCACTCCCCTCCTCCCCAAAGAATTTGGAACAGGGGCACTCAGCTTTCCCTACTGTCCCCAACAGCCTCCCTGGCAGCCTTGGCGATACCAGCCAAATACCAGGACTTCAGACATCTTTGAAAAGAAGAAAGCTGATATCCTGCTCCTGCATTGGCAGCATGATTGTCCTATAGACCTCCAGCCCAGAGATGAGGTGCTCTGAAACTATCTCCAAGAGAACCATAAGTGGCATAAAACAGGCTCTGCTGGATGATGGCTTGTGTGGAATTATTATAAGTGAACTCTGAGTATGATAATAAGGGAACCCAATCATCCTGGTGATAATTTAAAAAGCAATGGAGATATTGCTCCAAGATCTGGTTAACCCATTCCATCTGCCCATTGGTCAGAGGGTGATAAGCCAATGAGATAAGGGATTCCATGCCAAGGAGCTTGAAGAGTGGACACCAAAAATGGGAAATAAATTGTGGACTTGGATCTGATACATCAATAGGCAAACCCATGATATCTGACAACATTTTCCGAGAAGAGACTAGCTGTTTCTTGGGTAGTTGGGTGGCATAGGAAGGAATGAAAAGCACTATCTTGGTTAGAAGATCAACCACAACCAATGTCATTATGCAGCCATGACAGCGGGCTATGAAGTCCAGTAACACATTAGACCAGGGTTTTGGCAGAATGAGTGAGGACTGGAAGACATTGAGTGGATTGGAGAGTGCAATCTTGGTCCAGGAGTGCTCAAGTCCTACAATGGCAGGAAAAGGATTAAGTAAGATATACCCAGATACTCCTAGTTTGTCTGAGAAGGTCATGCGAGACAGTATCAAAAGCCTTACTATACACATCTTCTGCTTCCCTCCTATCCACAAGGCTTGTTATGTGAAAGAAAACTATTAGGTTGGTTTGACGTGATTTATTCTTGACAAAGCCATGCTGACTATTACTTATCTTATTATCTTCTAGGTGTTCACAAATTGATTGCTTAATTATTTGCTCCATTATCTTTCTGGGTACTGAAGTTAAGCTGACTCATCTGTAATTCCTTGGGTTGTCTTTATTTCCCTTTTTATAGATTGGCACTCTATTTGCCATTTCTGGTCCTCTGGAATCTCTCCAGTCTTCCATGACTTTTTGAAGATAATCACTAATGGCTCAGATATCTCCTCAGACAGCTCCTTGAGTATTCTAGGATGTATTTCCTTAGGCCCTGGTGACTTGAAGACATCTAATTTGTCTAAGTGATTTTTAACTTGTTCTTTCCCTATTTTAGCCTCTGATCCTACCTCATTTTCACTGGCATTCACTATGATAGATGTCCAGTTGGTACTAGCTTTTTTTTGGTGAAAACTGAAACAAAAAAGACATTTAGCACTTCTGCCACTCCACATTTTCTATTGTTGTTTTCTCCCCCCAATGAGTAAATTTTAAATTTTTAAATTAATGGAGATATTCTATCTCCTAGAACTGGAAGGGACCTTGAAAGGTCATCGAGTCCAGCCTCCTGCCTTCACTAGCAGGAGCAAGTACTGATTTTGCCCCAGACCCCTAAGTGGCCCCCTCAAGGATTGAACTCACAACCCTGGGTTTAGCAGGCCAACGCTCAAACCACTGAGCTATCCCTCCCCCCTATGGGAGTAATGGGCCTACTTTGTCCTTGGTCTTCCTCTTGCTTCTAATGTATTTGTAGAATGTTTTTTTGTTACCCTTTGTCTCTAGCTAGTTTAATCACGTTTTGTGCCTTGGCCTTTCTAATTTCGTTCCTATATGCTTGTGTTATTTGTTTCACACAGTAATAACAATAATGATGCTTTAAGGTAAAACTTATAACTGGGGTGCACTGCATCTTTGGGGGAAGAGGATCTGGAATTTCTGTGGATAACCAGAATCAGGGGCTGGAAATCACAGGGGAACACTTCAAAGGGATTCAGAGACTGAGATGCATCTATTGCAGTGGTTCTCAACCTATTTACCGTTGTAGGCTGCGTCCAATATTACCTGTATAGCCCTGAGACTGTCACATGGGCCGCATCTCTGTCTTGATTGGCTGCAGGTTGAGAACCACTGATCTATTGTTAACCTGCAAGGCAAAGACAGGGCTGGCATAGCTCAGAGGAGAGTGCTTGAGTGGCTGTAAGGCTGGCGGTGTCAGGGATCTGACACCCAGCTAGGCATAGGGAAGACTCCCTCACTCTGGAGGTGGAGTAACAGAGTGACTAACAGTCCTGGGTGTCCCAAAAGCCGTTACGCCGAACTAGCTGAAAATTGAACCGAGTGCCTTAATTGGCATCAGAGCATAGTGTCAACATCAGCTTCAACTTGGGAGTGTTCTGACTCTCCCTGTGTCAGCTATTTGGCTGGAACATAAATATATCCATTGGCACTGAGATTGATAATGCCCTGTTTATTTGGGGGGCTGATACTTAAACAAGACCATTGCTTTCCCAAAATATTATATAAAGCCTATAAGGAATTGTTGGTTTCAAGTGGTTTAATCAACATGTTGATTATATCAATTTTATTTTATTTTCACCCACTTTATTCTAATTTTGTTTGTTTATATGTATTTTAAGGTTTTGCTTAGTTATTTAATTCAGTAATTAAATAGTAGTCAAGTAAGTAAAATATATAATATTGGAAACCGGTGTGGCTTCGAGGTTTTTTTTCCTGGTGTAGAACCTGAGAAGTCCCCAGTGTAAATAAAGACGGCAACTGGCCCACCTAGCATTGCTGTATAGTCCTCTTGTATCTGGTGCCCAAACAGGAACCACTGCTGCTTTTTGAGGAAAAGTCAACTTATGTATTATCCATTAACCATTTATGTATTAACCCACCATAAGCAACGTGGGTTCTAAAACTTTGGATGGTCTGAGGTGGAGAATGTGAGCCATTTAACATAAAGGATAACCGGTTTCCCAAAACGAATCTACACTCACACTTGTTTTGTCTTTTATTTATCTGTTTAAGATTTGCAAATTATTGTATGGCCCATTGCACATGACATGATATAAACTCTTACTTATTTTACTTCCACATGTTAGCTGAAGTTCTATTTTATTATTTTTTGTTTTTCATTGTATAGACAACAGTGGGATTTTATAGGTCAGGATTAATGTCAAAAAAGTGTCTTTTGATAATTAAAAAATACAAAGCCCTGTGTAGTCATTCTTTGAGAATAGTTGTCTTTAATTTACTTCTCCTCAACAGCGACCTTCTGTGGATGAACTACTTAGAGAGGGCCATATCAGCCTGTCAGGTCTGCAGCTACGAGCTCATGCTATGTTTTCAGCAGAAGGTCTGCCTGTGGGAAGTGATACTTTAGAATATGCATGGCTGATCGATGTGCAGGCTGGCTGCCTTACAGCTAAGGTTACAGCACCACAGGTATGTTCTAGAAATGCTAGGTAACATATTTAGTACAAGGCTTTATCTGTGTATACACATTCCTTTGTTGCAAAGCTAATATAATGTGGTCTTTTTTTGAAGGGGACAAGTGTACATAGGCTCAGCCCAGCTGAGATTCATTTGTGGCTAAAGTAACTTGAAATTAAAGACTTTGAAAATTCAGTTGGAAACACCAAACTAGAGAGGGAGAATCTCCATGTAAAATCTAGGATTGAAGTATGGTGTGTGCAAAGGTAGAAAGACAACTGAGCATACAGACTAACACTGCTTGAAATTTCAAGTGTAGGAGCCATCTGTCTTAATGTCCTGAAATTGTCCTGATTTGTACCTAATATTCTTGCAAGTAAATACTGTTATTTATATTCAAAGGATATCCATAACCATAATATTTAAATGCACTTTAGATGGCATGCAACATTTCCTGCAAATAGGAGCATGTATATTGTTACTTTGTGTAGCACTGAACAAGCATTAATGACAGGAGACAGGAAAAGGTAGGAAGTAGACTAAATGCCAGGGAATTGCAGTTAATTAAAATCTTATTTAAAAAAGGGTGCATTTTACATCATGCTGTGAAAGAGGCCAGGTTCACACTACATCTCATGATAATACATTTCAGAGATGTGGGTCCTCTGCCTACTTCCAAACTCTCTGGGATAGACAGCTAAAGTGTCCCATTTTGATGAGTTGTTGTGTGAGAGGCAGTTTGATATCACTGGAACCTAGGGTATTTGGAGTAGTATGCTAAAATACATTAGAAACCCTTATTGTACCACCAGCAGCACCTATATGGATTAATGCATAACATATTAGTGAACTTTAAAAATCACATCTCTGCTGAGTGCATTACCCCACCATGTAGACAAGACGCAGGATGAACTATAAGTTTTGAAAAATGAGCATTCAATTACATAAAAACAAAGATGTTTCCCTAAAGAGGGTTCATTGCTTTAGAAGTGGCTAAAATAGATTAGTTTCAAATAGAGATGAGTTTTGATTTTTGACAGTACACTTTGCCATTCATGAAAGAAAAACTGCATAAACTTATAAACTGTGTCAAATCAGAAAAATTACGATAGTGGCTATCTAGCAGCAGAAATAAAGCTCCTGATGATTTTTTCTTTCTCAAGCTTTGCTAATGTTCTTTCTCTGAATTCTGATAGTTTATTTTGAATACTTACTGTATTGTGATCCTGTTGCTGTTTGCTTACAGCTTGCATGTCTGCTGGAATGGGGACAGATGTTTGTGTTTCATGTAATGTGTCGAGAGTTTGAACTGGAAAGGCCAAAATCTGTAATAATGTGTCAGCATGGAATTGATCGTCGGTTTTGTGAATCTAAGGTAAAACTTCATCAATTTCGAGCCTGCAAGTTGGTATATTTACAGTAGTATATTGCAATAGTATTTGAATATAACTTTAAAGTATCCGAAAGTAGAACAAAGCTATAAATGTGGTTTGGAGCATGTAGATATTTTAGTTAAAGAAGCATAATTATTTCCTTTAGCAAATTATGGCTAAGTGACGATCCACATGGAATCCCTTCTAGGTGCATACGCACCCCAGGTGCATAAGATCAGATTCTTTTGGCAGCAGTATCTGTTGTGGCCAGTTCTGCACCCTAGATGTCCTCATTCATCTCCACCCCAGGGCTTAAAGGGAGGGGCGGGCTCAACCATCTCTCAATTCCTTCTTACCGCCCATGACAGCAAAATGGAACACCTTTAGCATCCCCCTAATTTGCTGTGCACTGTGTAGTGATTAGTTAGTTTTATTGCCTGTTGGCAACACACACAAACATATAAATTCCTTATTTTACTCAGGTTCTCATTTTCAGGCTATTACACCCCAATCTCTGCCCCCCTTGTAGAGGGACTCCAGCAAAATGGCAGAAGCAAAATCTCTTGGGTTTAAATCTTGCCCCTAGTGTGAAGCTTCAGGGACACCTGATGAGCACTCTAGGTAGCTGTTTTTTCTAGGAGAGTGTTAGTACCATATGTCACTCCTACTCTAAGTGGACTCAAAAATTAGAAAAGCCCATCTAAAATTGTTCCTCCTGGAGTACTCCTGTGCATGTCTCCTTGGACTCCAAAAAGAAGACTGCATTTAGACTTCAGTCTTCTAGTCTGTTCTTCTCTTCATGAGTGCTTCGGTGAGTAGAGATTTTAACTTGAGATTTCTGGTTATATTGACCAAGAGGCCTCAGTCATTTGTCCCTATTCTGGCTTTGAACTCTCATAGGGTAGGAAGGAGCACCTATCCAGAGTACAGCCAAGACATAGGTCATCCTCTTTCATGCCTACTGATTCAGGGCACAAGTCTCCTAAATCTGAGTCATCTTGCATTCAACAAAGACAGACAGTGGCCTAAGAAGGGCCCCTCTGGTACCTTGGTACTAATTAAAAGAATGCTGATGGTACCCACTAAATGTGTGGACGGCAATCTTTCAGTACTGAACTTTCAGCACTCAGTGCCTTGGTACCTGGCACTTCTGTACAGGGAACCGTGAAACCATGTTCCTTGGTGCCCAATGCATCAGTACTTAGTGTGGTGGTAATGAGGGCATGTATGGTACTTGAGTGATTTATCTCTGGGCCCCATTTTGGAATCTCCTTTCCTTGAGAGCTTCAGTATGGTGATAACTAGGCCACCAGGTACTGAGCTGTCGGTAGAGTGGTAGAGGCACCTCTGTTACCAATTTCACCCTCTACCCAGTTAGGGAGGACACAACAGATCCAAGGCATTCCTGACAGAATGGCCACTCCTTTTCTTAACTCCATCAGGGCATAGTAGTTACTCTTCTTGTACACATTCTCCTTGGGTAGTGCAGTGGACATCAGGAACATACTCGGCAGAGGAATGTGTAAAGGACAACAGGAAATTTCTTAGGTCACATAGGAAACATCCTTCCTAGTACTCTCCTGATTTATCCCTCCCCCACCCCATATCCTTATCAGCCCTGGCTCTACTGGGAGGTGCAGCTGTGTTCACGTAAGCCTGCATCTTTGTCTCCTTCTAATTTTACATCCACCCTCCCCCCAAGAGGCCATATAAACCAGCATAGCGAGGTCAGTTAGTGCAGCATCGGATCCTAGAAAGCAGGATAACGAAAGTAATGTGAAAGAACAACTTATCTTGGCTGCAATCTCCTCTTCTCTCAATGAGTAGGAGTGTTAGATTCCAGGTCAATGAGAGATTATCTTTCATGAGAAATATTCCAAACAATAGTGGACTTCATTAACTAACAAAAAAACCCCATCACACTCACCCCAAAACATCCATAAGGGCATGCCTCAGACTTCTGGGGCGTATGGCCTCATACACTTGTCTGATGGAGTTTGCCAGCCTTTGTCTACACTTCCTGCAAGGGTGGGTGAGATTCATGTATCCACTCAGCAGACACCCGGTGGACATGTTGGTTCTGATCCCATATGAAGTCCTCTCCTCATTAAGCTGGTGGAAAGACCCTAGTTCAAGTGTTCAAGGGAGTAGTTTTTTCTGCACCTTTCCAAGACAGTGGTGATGAATGCCTCTACCCAGGGAAGAGGGGCTGACCTAAATCAACTTTAAACTCAGGGCATATGGGCCCCTCAGGAAGCTCATCCTGAAACTCGGAGCCATCCAACTGGCATGCAATGCATTCCTACCAGGACTCCAGATATCCAGTATCCAAGTGCTGACAGACCACACCACAGTTATGCCTTATGTCAACAGACAAAGGGGAGTAAGATAGTCTCCGCTCAGGAGGACATGGTACTCTGGACTTGGTGTATTCTGAATCAAATCACACTAATGGCATTGCACCTTCTCAGCCTACAGAACACCTTGGCAGATCAACTCAGTAGGCGGCTCTCAGACAACTGTGAGTGGTCTGGTTTGTCAAAGACTCAGTCCTGCAGAACATCTTTTGCAAGCTGGGATTCCTTGAAATAGGCCTGATTGCCACAGACCTCAACAAGAAGTCTCTGAAGTCTTGCCCCAGAGGGAGTTCGAGTCTAGGCTCGCTAATAGATGCTTTTCTCATTCCTTGGTCATTGGGACTTATCTGCCATTGTGCTGATCCCCAGGATATATTAGGGGTTCTGAGGAAACTGAGGCAAACATAGGACTGATGCTTGAACAGGCAGTTCTGGTATTCAGATCTGATGATCCTCTCATCACCCTATCAGCCTGGACCAACATATTCTCCCATGGGTCAGATCCTACACCTGAATGGAGCTTTGGTACATCTGACTGCCCGGATGCTGGCTGACTGACGTCCACCGAAAGAAGCTGTGCAGCTGAGATTCACGTGATACTGCAAAGCAGGAAAGCCTGACTTAAAAAGCTAAATGGAAGAGATTTTCAATTTGGGCATCTCAGCACCAGCGGTCTCCCTTGACATCGCCCATTTTAGCAGTATTGGACTATTTGCTAGCTCTGAAACAGCTCCATAGGGGTCTGTCTAGCAGCAGTATCTGTACACCACCTCCAGTCCAGAGCCACACAGTATTTCCCACCCTTTAAATTCCTTAAAGGCCTTATTCATATTTTACCCCCATTTCAGAAACCCCCTCCTTTTTGAGACCTCAACATAGTAATAAGCAGAGTGGATGGGTCCCTCTTTTAACCCCTTTGTAACTTGTCTCCTTTACCACTTACCTATGAATACTGCTTTATTTTAGTGGACATTATGTCAGCTCAAAGGGTAGAGGAGATGCAGGCCCGCATGGTGAGTCCCCCTTATACAATGTTTTGTAAGGACAGGATAGCTCTCAAGCCTCATCCCAAGTTCCTTCCCGAAAGTGTTTCATAATTCTATTTGAACCAATTTTTTCAGGTCCCAGTTTCTTGCCTAAGCCTCATTCAAACCCAGGGGAAGCTGAATACACTTGATGTATTAAGGCATTGACATATAACTTAACAAGACGAAAACATTGAGGAACACACCTAGACTGTTTGTAGCCTTTGCTGATAGGCTTAAGGGTCAGGAAATATCCTCTCAGCGATTATCTAAGAGGGTCTTTGAAAATATAAGGACATATTATAAATTAGCCAGATTATATCCACCTAATCATATTAGAACTGATTCTGTTTGAAAAATGTTCCTATTTCTGAAACTTGTAGGGCACCTGTGTGGAGCTCTGTTCACACCTTTACAAGACACTACTCTTTGGTATAAGCTTCCACGTCCTACGCATGGTTTGATAGGGCTGTCCTGCAGTCATTCTTTAATTAGGACAACTCCTGCCTACTTCCAAGCAACCCAACAATTGGTTGTTACTCACCAAGAGAGGAATCCATGTGGACTATCAGTTGAATAAAGAATGGTTACTTACCCCACAGTAAGGGCAGGAGGTCAGACTTAGATGATCATGATGGTCCCTTCTGGCTTTAAAGTCTGAGTCTAACTTGGAGATATGTTGTCCACATAGATTCCATGGTCTGTCCTCCTCCCCTGTCATTAAAAAGTCTTGCATTAGAATTCTGCATTGGTGAAGGAACTGAGGGATGGATGGTCCCGCTCCACCCTTTATTCTCTCAGGTGAAGGGGGTACAAGGACATCTAAGGTGCAGGCAGGGCCCCACGGGCACTGCTAGTCTAAAGAATCCAATTTCATGTGTACGGGGTGCATTCGAACCAAGAGTGGAATCCCATGTGGACAACACATCTCAAAGAATCCGTTACCATAGGGCAAGTAATCATTCTTTTTTGCCTAATTTGTCCTCTGTTAAGTAGAAAATTGAAGTATGATCAGGAAAAACTTGTTAATATGAAATTAAAACTCTAACAAAATTGAGTGCTTTGTTTAAATATCTCCTCTAGATGAACTGTGTTCCTGGGCCATGTCCAACATCTGATGATTTAAAGTACACTATGACACGCCTTGCAGTAGATGGAGCAGATCTGTATATTGTAGAGCATGGCTGTGCCACCAATATAAAGGTAAAAATATTTTCTCCCTCCTTTCTGTGGTAATTGTGATATTATTTTTCTTTTTCTCTCTGCCAAATGAGGAAGCACTTTCTATATTTCTAAATATCTGAATTTATTGTCTGGAATGTTTGTTCTGCAGTAGTGCTTATTTTGAAAATTAGATGATTAAAATATATTTTAAAATTTGGTATTTCATAAAAAAATAGTCGTTGGAGGCTTGAAACTTTTAATCTGCCTAAGTCCCAGTTTCAGGGGTGACTTTTTAGGCTCCGAAGTCACTTAGGCAATTTTGAAAGTTTTACCATAAGTCCATTTCCAGTGTCCCATAAGAAGTTTGTGCCAGAGCTGGCAACACAACGCAGACTTCTAATGTAATAGACCATGGGTCAAATTTTCAAAAGTATTTTAGTCCTATTTTCAATCTTTTTTCCAATTTCCCACTAAATCTTCCCTCTCCCCCAAAATATGTGAAGAATAAAATATTTCCCTCTTAAAAATTGAAAAGTGTGATTTTGAAAGTTGGTATCAGATTTTTGGAGTAGCCATATTCTGGAGGAAATTTATTTTTATTTTCTCAGTTTGAGAGTTTGAAAATTGTACAGTAAGTGTTATAACTAATTTTGTTAACCTGAGCATCTAAAGAAAGATTGGTGAGCATCTGCAGCTAAATTAGCTTTGCACTGGCCTGGATCTGATGCAGGAGTTAGGTACTTATAGGATACAAAGCAAAGGCTTCAGCCAACGTTGTTTTGTGGAGGAGAGGGGCTCCCTCCTGTGCATTTCCGCAGAACTGCTAGACTTATGCCTAGTCAAAGAAATAGTGTAAGATTATGTAAAGACAGTATTGTAATACATAGATTCAAGGTGGCAGAGTTGAGGTTCTGCATTTGAGCACTCAGCGTGACAGTTCTTGAGGTAACCGGCCTCCAGTGAGAGAGAGACTTGCTTGTGCTTAACAGAGTGTCAGCTCCATGATGCCTCCAGTCTGTTAACCCAAAGGAGATTGTTTGGGTGGCTATGTCAGCCCTTATTTGGCTTTGCAAGTTAAAAATAGGTGTACCTGAGTCCATTGAAACATTCCCCAGTCCAGCCCCTTCTACGCACGCTGAACACTCTCAGAAATACCAGGTCTGCTTCCCGCAAGGAGACAGTGTACGCATCAGCTTACTTGATTCAACTCAGGATCAACATTTAAAACACACGAGATATATATTTATAGTAAAAACAATAATATGTTTATCATCAAAGATGGAGATTTAAGAGATGGTGAGTAAGGAAAATAGGAACAGGTTACATATAACACAAAAGTATAACATGCTTTCTAGGGATTAAATTTAATTTAACAGGTTAATCTTCTGTCTAAGACATTTATCTCACCCCAAATAAGCTCTGCAGCATTTCATCAAGGGCTGGTTGTGATCTTGTTGCACAAATGTAGTCGCACTGCCCAAATAGTTTTCTAGGTGTAGGATAAAGATGTGTGTTTTTGCCTTCTCCTTATATTCCTCAAAATTCATTCTCCCCCCCTAGAGATAGGACAGCCCAAGGAGGTTCATTCCCAGGTGCCCTATCCCTCTGCTGACATTCCTCTGATTTCATATATAAATAGGGCTTCTGTTATGTTGGCTTGCAATGCTCAATTTACATGTGAACCAAGAGATAGGTGAACATATATCCTTTGTCTGGCAGAAACCTGTTTGTCAACCCTGCCTTGATACAGACTTTAGAAACATATTTTCATTATACATACACAACATCTTACATAATATCTGTCCATACATTTCACAACAATATTAATGATCAGCATGATCCTGGCTTTCATTTAAGGCGTTACATGATACTCTCTTTGGTAAACCAAATGTACGTACCAGGACCAGGATATTCCTGCAACCAGTTGGCATTAAGGGGGTAACTTGATCCTTTTTTTAATGGTAAATAATTATATTGATTCCTGATTGATACTAATTTAATGAGCTGGGGGGATATAGGGTCCTTGTCCCAAAATCAGGTTCCACAGAATTAAAACTAACAAGTTCAATATCTTGTAGAGAACCCTGGAGTATATGGCAAAGACATTCACACTGAGGGCAAAGCAAAGTCTTAGCCACTTTTATTAAAACAATCAGTAAAGACAAGAAAGCTCCAAACCACGTAAACAATTAGCAGTCATATAGTATTAGGAATAGCTTCAGTGTCATCCCTGCATATGCTCATATACTTACTTTAAGGTAGCTGTCGGACCATTTTATGTATGTAAGGGTCATAGGCCTACTTTGGCTTAAGCAAGTTAGCATCAATAATGTCTTACAGGATACAGGCCTGTAAGTTCCTTGTGTTACTGCTAAGTAAAATAAAAGGCTGAGCTAGCTCTATGGGCTACAGAGGTTTTAGGGTCAGACTCAACTATGCAACTTTGTTGCTCTATCAATAAAGCTTTGTCATCGATTAGTGTGTAAGTGCTTCACAAAGTAATGTATTGTTGTATTCAGAATAGATATCTAATATCCATTCTTTCTGGAGGCCATGTAATAGCATCCAGCTATACCCAAAATGAGGATTTTCATACTCAGCCTGTACTCAAATTGCTCTTCTAAAAACACAGTTTGCAAATTCCTTGATTTTTTTTCAAGTCAGCATTTCTCTAACTGGGGATACTAATCCAAAGAGGGGTTGCAAGCCTCTTGTAGGAGGGATCACTGTATTGCCATCCTTACTTCTGCACAGCCTTCAGTACTGGGTGGTCGGAAAGCGGCAGCTGCTGGCTGGGAGCCCAGCTCTGAAGACAGCGCCGCCGCCAGCAGCAGCGCAGAAGTAAGGGTGGCATGGTATGGGAGGGGTCATCACTTTTTTGGGCGGGGGTCATCACAGCCTGATATATTTTCAAAGATGTCCCAGCAAAAAAAGTTTGAGAACTGCTGTTTTAGGTTATACTTAGGAAATTCATAACACTTCTAACCTTCGGACATGACTTATAACATTCATTAGAAGGGTACATTTTATCATCCTTTTACAAATGGAGAACCTGAGGTAGAGAGTTTTAGTGATCCGTCCAAGGCCACAAAGGATATTTATTTCACGTGTGTGGCTAAATGTAGTTCCTGACCAGTAGGCCAGCCTTGCGTTTTTCTTTAAATATACTGAGTTTTATCTTTCTGGGACTGCATTATGGGGTCCTGCAATTAGTTTAAATGACTCCTTTGTGGTTGAATCTTTAACTATTCAGATATTCTCTTTTAATTGTATTTTCAGATGGGTGCTGTACGTATTGCAAACTGTAACCTCCACAACCAGTTTGTTGGAGAGGGTATAAGTGCTGCTATCCAAGACTTTCAGCTGAGACAGTATGTTGAGCAGGTGAATAACTGCAGAGTTGGTCTTCAACCTGCAATACTGCGGAGGGCGTACTGGCTGGAAGCTGGGTCTGTCAATTTGGGACTCATCACTGCTGATATTGCTTTAGCTGGGGATCATCATTCTAAACATGAAGTGCAGAGACATTTCTTAGAAACACATGATAGCAGAATTAAGAGGTAAGTGAAATTATTGGAGGAGGTGAGGTCACCATATTTCATGTCTTTTTAGTTGATACATTTATTTGTTCATGAGGGTGTATTTTTAAGTGCTGACTCTTACACATTTGCTTAAAAATTAGATTGTACTCACTTTATAAGTAGGTAGATTGCTGAGAACCACCTATGTATGTAAGGTGCTCAGAGGAGGTTAAGGATTTGGCTGCCAACTTCTTGGATAACAGAGACCTGAATGATTTTTGTATTTTTGGCAATATGTAGAGCAGTGATGTCAAAATAAAGAGATACAAATCAGTTTTTAATTGTTGGCCTAAGCTACAAAGCTAGGATCGTATACTGCCTTCAGTCCACACTGGATCTCCCACTGATAACAGCATAGATTTATACAAAAATTAATGTAAAATATGGCCTGAGGAAATAACTAAACTTTCTTTTAGTAATCTGCCATACAGCATGAATGAGTGAGAGGGGGAAAATTATGCAAGTCACTTTTATGACCACTCCTATTTTTGCCCTTTGTTTAGCCAGTTTTGTTTTCAGTTATTAGATGTTTGTGTGCAGTCATAGACCTACTTTATACATAGTTACTTTTAAAAAATCTGTTTCTCGAAGTGTCACAACTAAGCTTTCGAGTTAACATTTTTTTTGGATGAATGAGGGCAGCTGACAAATCCTGTGAACTTGTTTCACATTATCAAAGACCATGCTACATTAGGCCATATTTTTGAACTTTTTCATAACACTAAGGGCTACAAATTAATGTTTTTTAAATGAAAGCATAGATTGTGGAGAATCTGAACCAGTTATGAAGGCTAGCTAGATACAACCAGCAACCCAAGTATTTAACATCACTAATTCAGAGAATTGGAGTAGAAAGCATTCTGAAACTAGAAAAGTGGCAAAATCGGCTGAATTCAGTAATAATAAAATTAATTAAAAACCAAACTGTTACGTGTTTCTTAAAACAAATCAGGATAACTCATTAGGAGGTGATAAAAAAAGAAATTTGTGGTGATCATGGTGTATAAATGGAAAAAGAATCAACAGTGCAATGAGGTTGCTGAAGAGGCTGGGGCAGATCTTCAGCTGATGTAAATTATCATAGCTCCATTAACTTCAGTAGAATTATGACATTTTACATCAGATGAGGATCTGCCCTGCCACTGCCATATTTGACTAAAGGTGTAAACGTAAATACAAAGGTAATTACTTTTCTCTTGTCTGAACTGGTTACGCCTTAACTAGGCTGCATTGTTCAGTGTTGGGTACCCACATTTCAGAGAAGACATACAAATTAGAGTTCAATGACAAGTGATAGATAAACTTTAAATTAATAAAATCTGCTATTTGAGGAAAGGCTTGGAACTGAGTGTATTTAGTCTGAAGAAAAGTCCTTGAGGAGAGCCAGAACTTTATACTGTATACATTATATTATCTTCTTAGGCATATAGGACTGAGCAAGAAATTATGGAAATACACTGCAGTAGGGAAAATTTAGGATAACATTAAGGAAAAGCTGAAACTGGGGGGGGAAAAAAAGATGGATTGCTGGAATTGCCACCAGTTAAGATGTTGAAATCTAGAATATCTAGAAATTAATTTTAGGAATTGTCAAGGTTCCTTCCCCACTCTGAACTCTAGGGTACAGATGTGATACCCTGCATGAGAACCTCTAAGCTTAACTACCAACTTAGATCTGGTTTTGCTGCCACCACCCAAATTATTTATGAGTTATTTGGGAAACTCTGTCTACTTCCCCCCCCCCCCCCCCCCCAAAATCTCCCCCCCAAGTACTATAACCCTTCCCTGGGTAGCCTTGAGAGACTTCTCCACCAATTTCCTGGTGAACACCAATCCAAACCCTTAGATCTTAAAACAAGGAGAAATTAACCATTCCCCCTCCTTTCCCCCCACCAATTCCTGGTGAGTCCAGATCCAACCCCCTTGGATCTTAAAACAAGGAAAAATCAATCAGGTTCTTAAAAAGAAGGCTTTTAATTAAAGAAAGAAAGGTAAAAATCATCTCTGTAAAATCAGGATGGAAAATAACTTTACAGGGTAATCAGATTCAAAGAGCCCAGAGGAACCCCCTTTAGCCTTAAGTTCAAAGTTACAGCAAACAAAGGTAAACCCTCTAGCAAAAGGAACATTTACAAGTTGAGAAAACAAAGATAAACCTAACATACCTTGTCTGGCTGTTACTTACAAGTTTGAAATATGAGAGACTTGTTCAGAAAGATTTGGAGAGCATGGATTGATGTCTGGTCCCTCTTAGTTCCAAGAGCAAACAACCCCCAAAACAAAGAGCACAAACAAAAGCCTTCCCCTCACCAAGATTTGAAATATCTTGTCCCCTTATTGGTCCTTTGGGTCAGGTGTCAGCCAGGTTACCTGAGCTTCTTAACCCTTTACAGGTAAAAGGATTTTGGAGTCTCTGGCCAGGAGGGATTTTATAGTATTGTACACAGGAGGGCTGTTGCCCTTCCCTTTATAGTTATGACAGGAATCAATCCTGCAGTGAAGTGACTGGGACTAGTTAAACATACCCTTATGACATTTTCATGATCAGATCATGTGGTTACTATCTACAAGTAATATAAAAATACAGCTTCCAAAATGGCCTCAGGAGTCCAAATTGACACAGAATGGCATCAAAACTCACCTTCCTTAATTGTATAAATAAATCCATAAAATGGGAGTTGGTATGTAAAAAAGAGAGAGACATTTTGAATCTTGGTTTCGCAATGTGAGTTTAAATGTACCTAAATCTCAGTGCACTATTGCTTCTTGTTTTTGCTTTTTGTTTTCCTTTTGCATAGGTTGTGGTTTCTGTGGCCAGATGATAATGTGAAGAACAAGAGAAGCAAGAACAAGTGTGGCTGTCTTGGTGGCTGCCGATTCTTTGGTGGCACAGTAACAGGACTAGACTTCTTCAAGCTTGAAGAGATGACGCCTTCAAGCAGCTCTGCCTTTTCAAGTACAAGTGCAGAATCTGATATGTTTTATGGACAGTCTTTATTGCAGCCAGGAGAATGGATCATTACCAAGGAGATTCCCAAAATTATAGATAGTAAGAATAAAATGTGTACTACTTAGTATGCAGTTTTGTCCCACTTTCTGAGAAGTGTAGATTCTTAACTGTACAACGTACTTTCTAAAATCTTAATTGATTCTGGTAAATGAACAGTAAGTTATTACTAAATGCTGTGTACGTAATTCTACTACAGGTCATACAATAGAATGTGGTCTGATAAACCTGTGAAAGTGGAGAGTATGTATTAAAACACAATGGGTGCTAATCTACCCCATCTGTTGGGGGGGGGGTCGACAGTTGCTTTCTTGGTAATATGCAGTTTGAAGACTTTATAGCCACTAATTATCTAAATTGGGCATCAATCAATGGGGGAGTCTAGTGTTTTGCCTTTTAACACTTCTAACACTTTGCCTTTTAAGACTTTGAATGTTACTTTTTTAAGGGTGGGGGGGAGAAGAAACCATTGTAATTCTTAATTCTTGGTGCCACAAAATGTTCACATTTTTAATTGATTTTTATCTCTTTTGTACTTAGGTAAGACAAATGGTGTAAAAAGAAAAGATTGGGATTGCAGATCTGTGGGTATAGAAATAGAGAGAAAGGCCCAGCACCTGAGTCTGCAAGTACCATTGCGATCCCATAGTTCCTCATCATCTTCAGAGGAAAACAGCAGTTCCAGTGCTGCACTTCCCTTGCTTGCAGGTGAGAAGGAAAGCCCTTCTTCTACTACTGAAGATCACATGGGACAAAAGGAGTTCGTGTCTGGTGCAAAAAGAGAGGATGGTCATGGAAGGTTAGTACTCTGTCCAAGGTAAAAATTTATTTGTACTCTTAAGGATTAATAATGCTAAGTAAACCAATGCAAAATTCAAACACAACTGATGATTTCTAACAGTATTCCTGAAATTAATTTGCTACTTTGAATACAAAAGATGACTCATTAATATTGGATTTTCTGATCTTGATAGAAAATCTTACATGATGACAATAGCATTTGCCTAGACGTGCCTCATTTGTGCTTTGATCAGTTTGAAGATGGCCTCAGTTTCTACAAGACCTTGATATGGCTTAGTATGCATGCTCTGTATTGTGAAAATAATTTCTTATATGAATAGATATTTTCTTTGACAATTATAATTTCCTCCTTTGTGTTGATGAAAAATGCATAGAACTGTTTCTTTAAATGTGCATTAATAATTGTTAAGATTGTGCAATGTAAGATTTGCACCATACTAAACCGAATAAACAATTGTTCTTTTTTCTATTTCTAGTACTCCAGCAGAAGTTTCAGGAAGCAGTCCTGTGTCTCCTAACAACCAGGAAAGGTCTGTAGGACAGTCTCCCCTCAGGTCTCCTTTGAAACGGCAAGCATCTGTGTGTTCTACCCGACTTGGGAGCACCAAGAGTCTTACTGCAGCATTCTATGGTGACAAGCAGCCTGTTCCAGTTGGTGTTCAGTTCAGTAGTGATGTCTCTCGCAGTGATGAGAATGTCTTGGACTCTCCAAAGCAGAGGAGAAGCTTTGGTTCTTTTCCATACACGCCATCTGCAGATTCAAATTCATTTCACCAGTATCGCTCAATGGACTCTAGCATGTCGATGGCTGATAGTGAAGCCTATTTTTCAGCAGCTGAAGAGTTTGAGCCAATAAGCAGTGATGAAGGTCCAGGAACCTATCCAGGGAGGAAAAAGAGAAAAAAGCAAGCCCAGCAAATTGAGTATAGTAGAGGGTCAATCTATCACAGTGTAGAAGGACCTCTAACTAGTACAGTCCATGGAGAAGCCAGTCAAGATCCAAAGACTTTGCCAATCAAGACTCATGCTTCACAGGCTTCATTTGTTTCAGCAGTGGGCGAAGAAGATGAGCTCGTTGAGCACATGTATATCATGGAAGCTGAGAAGGCTGTAGAAAGTGATCAAATAACTTCCCAACAACCTATAATGACCTGCTACCAAAGTTACCTTACCCAGTTTCAGGTGGTCAACTGGTCAGTAAAGCATCCAACAAACAAAAGAACCTCAAAATCTTCCTTACATCGGCCTTTAGACCTTGATACCCCAACTAGTGAGGAAAGCTCCTCGTCTTTTGAGCATTTTTCTGTTCCAACTTTTAAGGTATGGAAAAAAAAGTGAAGAAGGAAACAAAGTGGTCTAGAAAGGCTAGAATGTGCTGTGTTAAAGAATTCCTATTAACTAAGTCAAAGGAAATTTAAAACTGTTCTCTGTTGGTTACTAAGAGTTGTGATCTCTGATATTAAATCCTTAGGATTTAAGAACAGGAAGGGTTTGTGAGGTAGAGAAGAATAAGTTAGTGTTTTGTGAATGAAAAGTGTGTTTGAATTATTGAGAGCTTTGTAAACTCTCATTACTGTACTCAGAAATGCTTTTGAATAACATCCAGCAGGATGCAACAGAGGGTCCTGTGGCACCTTTAAGACTAACAGAAGTCTTGGG